TAAAGGTCTTCCAAGTACACAAGGTCTCTGACATCTTACTTCCCCTTTAACCTTCTCTCATACCCAAACTTTGCCCCAAACTCTCTCTTTTTCTCTCCTTCCATTCACAGAGGCATGCGCCGTGGGAGCGACTGGCCTTGATGGAGGGTTGTGTGGGTCACTGCCTTTGTCTGTGAGGTCCAACGGCTTTCTCGGGACGAGTGAGCAGATTGCAGTGTTTGTACTTCTGCTCCATTTACCTTACTCTGTCCTGGCTGGCAGGCAGGAGGCCAGATGGGTGGATGGGGCAGGTGGGTCATTCATTTAATGAAACCAAATACAGTGTTTATGACACAGAACCCTTCTTTCAAAACTAGTCTTGATCCAAAACAATTGTTTTTCCCTCATTATGACACCTTATGTGAAAACGTTGTAACATCATACAGGCTTAAGTTGATGTCCAGTGAGTCTAGAGGGTGAAACACATTAACTGGCAGTGATTAACACAGCCGGTCAGTTAAAGTTTAAACCACTCTGGCCACCTCCGCGTCATACGGTGGTGAGAATGAGGGCCCACATTTAATGCGTGTGCTGGGAGTGCGTCAGCCCTCCTGGTGAGTGACTGCCGGGTTCATCTTTTCTGACACAAAAAGCTAATTTGTGATACCTTACATTATTGTCAAAGTGTAGGAAAATAACGCGCGGAGAAAGCATTATCCAAATAACAAACAATGTAAAGCATGCACTTGAAATCTTCAGTGACTATGATGAAAAAATACAATACAACTAAAAAGTACATCGTATCAAAGGAATAATATAATAGGATAATTTGATAATTTACATATTTCCTTGTTGTTTAAGCCTTGGATTAATTGAACTTTTCTTGACTTGCTAGAACAGATTTTGCTTTAAATAATAAACTTAGAGGCAACCACATGCACCACACACACACACACACACACGTGGCACACACACCACAGCTGAACTGAAGACCCTTTGTGTTAGAGCAGAGCAGCTGCTGTATTAAACTGCCCTCTTTGTGGGGTAACGTTGACTGGGCTCCTTTTTATTATTCTTATGAAAATGCTAAATGAACCCTTCTGTTTGACTGTGAGATGGATAATTTGACCGTCGGTTCGATGTCTGATTTTTCCATTGGGGCATTACGTAACTGTATGAAGGTTCTGTTAATTTGCCTGGGATTTCTCCACCACTGACAATTAGCAATGATGAGGAAGTTGGTCCACTGCATTTCTCTTTTGCCCTCTCAATTAATGACACACTCAAAGACACGCGCACAAACACACACACTCCAATTTGGCAGGGAAACACATTCAATGTTTGATGGGAATGTTTTTATATTTCAATTTCCGGTTGTGCCCTGAAGACGGCCGTTCATCTCTATCATATTAACCCTATTAGCAGTCTCACTCAGAGCACAATTATATGGGTTTCCATGATATTACTGTTATTATTGCTGCAGCTCTATTTTGAGACTTAATAACTCTCACCCACAGTTGTTTTTGGTGAGAAAGAGTGTGGGTGGGGATTGAAAGTAACCAAATGTTATCATTTTCATAAAGAAAAACAAATCTTAAAATTGAACATGCGAATGATCTGTTGAATGGAATACAAAAAAGTTTTCCACAATTAGTTATCTTATTTTGATGAGAAACTTTCCTCTATCGTAGGGCCTATATAGGGTGTGAAAAAATGTCATCATAGATCATTTTACCGTGATGTTATCTGGCAAAACTAAAGTAAACACGTAGGCATACACAAACATACATAAGAAAATCAAACACAGACACACTGATTTAAATCTGAGAGCAGACTGACTTCATTTGGAAAACTTTCAGGATAATAAATCCACCATAATGTGAATGGCGCCATCTGCACAAATGGCACACAAACAGACACACAATAACACACACTCCAACGTCAGCACATCACCGTCGTCAGACAATCCAAACACTGCCTGGTGCTAGGCAACCATGCCATCCCAGTGCAGATGGCAAGGTCTGATCATGTTTATTTTGCTCTCCCATGGCGGATTGTGCTGCCATGACATCTTCTTCTCAACGTGTTCCACCTGATATATATTGTGCTGCATACCACTTGACCGTTTCACTTGCATATAATTATACTAAATAGGAAGAAAGATAAATGATTGTAACCATCCTCGACTACTAGAAATATGAAAAGCTGGCCTCAATCAAAACAAAGTGAACAAACCTGTGATTTAAACTTTTTTACGATAACAAAATCAAATAATTGCATGAAAGCAATATGTGAAAGGTGTGGCATTAAGTTGCCCTGCGCTCAGCTTTAATGATTTGATTAGAGCTGTTCTGTCTGTGGCAGCAGGCTGGAGCGGCTTTAGGCTCCTCATCCCCCGTGGAGAGCCTCCATCCGAGTAGGCTTAGCAACACAGGCGTAGGCAGCTGCGACATGGGTGGATTGGCATGCGATAAATGACTCCTCCTCAACCAGAATAATGAAGAAACAACACTCAAACAAACCCGGGTCTGAAGGACATTCATGTTGTTGTGTTCACTCACACGCCAACAGATGCCCGACACACCTTCAAAACTGCTCCTGATGGATGAACTTGTGCTGTGGCGTTCACGTTTGACGGTCTGGACTTGGTCGACACCCATGTGCCATTGTCCATTAAGCAAACTTGTCTTGTTGAGTCATAGGCTTCAATTATTTAGATTCTGTGACTTTGAAACACGTCTTAATGGCTGGAAAGCTGAAGAAAGACCAGCGCCTTAATCATGAAACCACGTCTTTTTACAGAGCGTGTATTTATCTTTGATTTTAATAAAGTGAAACGTGGCGCCATCAGGGGTCTTTCATTGACGCCTTATATCATACCATGAATAAAAGATGTCTACTGGGGGACTGGGATAATGAATGTTGCTTCACCACCATTAACACCAGACACAAGTACACGTACACACACGACAGAGTCCAAATAGATTCATTTATGAGCAAAGTTCATGCCCAAATGTGTGCTCAGCTGTGTGTAACACCTATGGGGCGACTATTGACAAGTACTGTAGCAGTACACAGCATGAGTGGCCCCGCGGCTGTCTTTGGGACTAGAGTGTGGCACAGAACTATTGACTCAGTTAAAAAGGAATACATTACTTCTGTTTTTTGTCTCCCCCGTTTTTTCTGTGAAAACTGATGTTGTATTTCCTTTCTGTGCTCCCTGCACGATCTTTAAAAACCTTTTTTATTACTACGCACTGTTCCTGCCAAACCGTTGCTCCTTTTCATGTATCCGTTTTGACCAACCTTTTGCTCTCTCCTTACTGTTCCAGTTAGTTATGTAATCTCAGTGTCATTCGGGACCTCATATTGAGTTTGGTCCTCCACTGACCCTCTTCAGCCAGCACAGTCAGCTATCTCCCTCGAGGCATCTGGGAGGCATGATACAACATGACACACTGAGAATTATTGATTTAGTGAGGACCTTAGGTGGTTGCACTGTGTTGCAATGGTTGTGCTTTACAAGTAACGAGGCCATCTGCATTTCTGTTGGCAGTCAGATGGTACCTGCCAAATTTGAGTTATGTAACTTGCTTTGCATGCGGTTTCAAAACAGTCTCGTCAGTCGATGTTATGTGACCAGAGTTGAATGCAAACCAGAAAAGACTCAAATTGAGGGATTTAATACACACTCGGCCCTAAACTGAAAAACAGCACGCAATTAATGCTGACCTGATTCTTCTTATCTGGTCATAACAAGGTGGGTAGGATTACAATACCTAATGTGAATACGACAAATACGCACACCACCCGTGATAAACGAGACCAGGTTTTACAGCGGAGTTAGCAAGGTTTGTCTTAGGCGTAGCAGGACTGACCAATATTTTCACATATTATTGTCAATTTAAGTTATTACAAATCCATAACATGTTCCTATTATTTCTTCATTTATTTTTGTCAATATCAATTAGAATGTATAACCAGCATTAGTTTCCCGCTGAGACAAGCGGGGCGTCTTCATTGCTGCGGTGTGCTGAGGTTGTGGCATCAGGACCGGAGAGATGCCAACAAACTCAACAAGCTGGTGAGGAAAGCCAGCTCTGTGATTGGTCTGGCGCTGGTCTGGCGCTGGTCTGGCGTTGGACAGTCCGGGGTCAGTGGATGAGAGAAGGATGAGGGTCAAACTCAGAGCCCTCCTGGACAATCCCACCCACGCTCTCCATGAGACACTGTGGCAGCTGGGCAGCTCATTCAGTCATCAGCTCATTCTACCAAATAGTCTTGTCCCGGGTCGAGTGCTTCAGATGCTCATTTGTGCTCACTGCCATCGGACTGTGTGACAACAGCGGAGACCAGGGTCTGTCATCATGGTGACCCCCCCCTCACAATAACACAATAACACTTCTGTCTCCTCGTCCCACTTTCTCCTGCATCTGACTCATGTGGAGCATTTTCCATGCATGCACACACACGCACACGTACATATACACAACCCTAGCTGCTGCAACACACGCCGCATTTCCAAAAATGATTAATGGAGGAATATTGTCTTATCTTTTGTGTCCTGGGAGCGCCCTCTGCTGGGCCCCTGCAGACTTGCACGGTGCGCACCGCATTACGTCACCAGTGAGGGTTGGCCTGGTACAAGCCCGGCAGTCACGTCTAAATAAGTGTATTTTTGTTTGTTCCGTTTCCTGCAGGTTATATATTAAATTAGATGTCTAATTCTCATATCAAACGCTCAAAGTAATATGTTGTGGTAGTTTGTTGTCACCGAGGTGGTCTGTGAGGACTTTGTTATGGTGGCAGATATGTCTGCTGGAAGCTGTGCACGTGAATAGACGCCTGATTGGACCCAAAACGAGATCAGATGTGCCTGAAGTGTAACACAACACAAGTGAAAGTACACAACTGCTACAAAGGCATATTCCCTCAACAGACCCTAAAAGACCATTTCTAAATGTACAATATGTTGCTTTTGGCCAGTAATTCTGTGGAAGAAATTGATAATAAGCCGTAAGTAGGTTACTCTTGTTTTTAATAAACTTCTTTCTGCTTCAAGCAATTTTCTAGAAAATAAAAATAGGTTTTGAAAGCAAGGGCAACACATACAAAATAGACACATTTGTAAAAACGTTGCTTCAGATGTAGATCTCTTTGGCTATAAAGAAAACTAAAGTTAAAACCAAACCAAACCAAAAAGTAAAATGTAATTATACATTGAAGTCTGTCACAAACTACACTGCAGACACAACATTATGCATGAGGCCATCCGACTGACTCGTCATATTTGTCTCCATATATTATATAAATATTGCTGTTTTCTCATTTCAGTGTTAATAGCAATACACCTCATATCATATTTTCCTTCTACTTTCTCTAAAGGTTTGTATAATCTTGACAAATTACACAAACACAAGGAAGGGAGTTTTTATCTGCTATTTTGACGTGAGTGCTGGAGTTTTAGAGTTACATAGAATGCAACCAAATTGTGGAGTTTCCTAAATAGTTGTCATCCGCCTTTATTAAAGGGTTCCCTTAAAGGTTACATGCCCTTTAAACTTAAGGGCGACCCCAATCTGTCCGGTCGCTTCTTCCTTTTTGACCCACAGCCCTGTTTATTGGTATATTTCTAAATAAATAATTATTCTCCCCAAAAATATTTTGTCAAATACCCCTTTCCTTGTAGAGCCTCTTTTGACTCCAGAAACACTCCAATATACTACATTGATAGGAGTAGTCCTACGACTGGGTGTAACGGATAATCTCACTCAGGTCGTAGCCTGTCACTGCAAAGGCATAACCGTCGCTGTCACAGAACTTGGCGCCACAGATTTGCGTGTCGGTCACACACTCATTGTGCAAATGGCCAATCTAAAAAGGAAATGAGGAAAACACACAGTCAGGGTCGAGCAGTAAGTGCAAGTTAAACCTGAAGGAAGCGATCATCAATCCTGCCTTGATAATAAACCAATTAAGACTAAACCAATTTGAATTCTGTTAATTCTGGTTACCTCCACGCTGTGGCTCTCTGGGCTCATTGACAGGAGCCACACCCTGACCAGCGAGTCCTCAGCAGCAGACAGCAGCTAAATCAGATGGAATGAGATATTCCCAAAACATGACTTGAGATTGACTTGAACATGTTGTATAGCTGTATAATAATAAATAATAATGACGGCCTTTTGCTTGAAAATCTATGATTTATTCTTCGTCACAGCTGTGTTTGCCACTTCAAATAATACATGTAAAGCCAATAAAGTTTTTTTTTTAAAAAGGAAATTTGGTTTATAGAACTCACCAGCCCAGAAAAGGGAGCAACGTCCAGTGAGTATATCCAGCGAGCGTGAGCGTTGACCTCGGCATGCAGAATACCCGTCACCGCTTCATACAGACGGATCTGGCCTGTGCCGTAACCTGCCACCGCCGTACCTTTCCACAACTTCACAGATGAGCAGCTAATACTGTGGGCAGCGAGGTAGGTGGAGAATGATTGCGATGAGGGAATTAAGGGAAGAGATGACGGAAATTAAATTACAGGTGGAAATGATGAAGAAACCAAAGACAGTAGAAGGTAACATAATGAAGAGATATAACGGGGCTTAGAAAGAAAGAGAATGGTGGTGACATCGTTTCAGCAGGTAACTCTTTTAGTACAAGTAGGCTACCATTGCAACACTTCATTACCAAAACTGAGAAAAATAAAAGTTCTTACTCAAAGCCAGGGATATGGTTGAGTAAACTAAATTCCTCCCCGGCCTTCCACACACACAGGTTGCCTCCATCGTCTGCACTGACAAGATCCGCTACGCACACCTGAGGGGAGGGAGACAGCCACAGAGGGGATAATACTGTACATCTGTAACTAACCCGGATATAATAACGAATAACGGTAATGAGCATACCTCACCACCACAGCATTCTGAGGCCATGTCAGTGATGGACTCTTTGTGCCCCTCAATGACATCAGCCAAGGTAATATTACTGCCCTTACTGGGAACATCGAATACTAGAATTGCACCAGTTGAAACGCCTTGAGAGAGAGAGAGAGAGAGAGAGAGAGAGAGAGAGAGAGACACGGACAGTCAAGTTTGGTCCGGTGTTTTGAATCCGAAAATGTATTTCACTCACAACTTACCCACACATATAAAGCTCTCACACACTGCGGATATTCCTCGAGCAAACATGCCTTGACCTGAGAGAAAGTTATATTGGGTTTAAAACTGTTTTCTCCCACACTCAAATGTAATATTACCAAAAAAAATGCATATATGAACATCTACGTGAATGTGGAGGCAAAAAAAAGCTAGGACAATCTTTGAGTAAATCTTTTCAAACCAAGAAATGTTGATTATAATAATCAGGTCCTCTTACTGATGTTTTTAGAGTTTGGTTTATGTTTGGGATTTGACATGTTTGTGGAAACAATAGGCTGTACTTGTTTCACAATCTGTTGTATCATCACACACTTTATTTTGTTTAATTGCGTCATGTAATTTATTGACCCTTATCAAAGTCTTCACGTAAATAATTCAGAAAGGACATATTTGAGTGTCTACATTTGCAGAAGATCCAGTTTGCATGCAACTATACCTGTATTTGTTTCTGGAGTATCGAGGGCATGCCAGTACACCATGGTGGAGCCATCAGATTCATACATCTAAAACAATGGATTTATAGCATGTGCAAGAAAGAAATTCAGCAAACACACACATATTATTTGTTTTGTTTGCTCGATACAACCATACAAGATGCAGATGTAGCAGTGCTTCCTCCAAATGTGGAGAATGCCAATGACTGCAGAGATAAGAACAAAAACTCACCTGGATGCCTTTCTGAGACGTCACCACCAGTAGATCACGAGAGGGCAGAGCACAAAAAGCAGCCTGCCACCAGAAAACACAGGAATCATATATATTTTTCTTTATATTGTGGAAAGAAACGCATATACATTGATATTTGCAAAAGACAAATAAAAAAAAATGTTGGAATTAGTATTACATGTCAGGAAGGAACCCATTAGAGGAGATGGTTAACCTTTCTTAGCTGTGATATGGCGCCTTTTCAGCACTTAAGAAGTTTTTCACCATGACTACGTATTTACTTTTGCTCACTTTATTAACTTCTTAGGAAAAACGTCCCCTGATGTCTTTTGCTTCCCAGAATTTACCTTTTCTCGTGGCACTAGTTATGCAAGCATCGATTCCTGCAGTGATCATCTGATTTGAATGAAAGCCAACACACACTTGGCTGATCACGCAGGAGACTCGTGAGTGTAGGACACCAGGAGACGACATGAAGACACACTCGGGCTGACCTGCATGATGAGGGACGTGCTGGTGGCGACATTGGGCTCCTTGGACTGCAGCTGACGGTGGGAATAGTTGAGGCCGTCCCAGGACGCGCTCACCATGTTGACCACGTTAGCATGGACCGCCGTGAAGCAGGTGAGGCGCCGGGGGGCGATGCGCAGCACGCCGAGGTTGTTGTACAGCGCCGAGGCGCTGTTTTTGATCTGGATGCTCTTCTCTTTCCGATACATCGAGCTACCTTCCTCTTGTGGTGTTGGTCAAAGCGAAATAAATTAAAGAGCTGCCCGGGGTCCCGCAGGCTGGCAATGTTAGCTAACTAGCTAACGTCAATTAAAACCACGTACCGTATAACGATGAGGGCCAAAAATATTAATATTACTTCTGCTTCAGACTAAATAGCAATTGTCCCACTTGCAATTGGCTGTAATAATCGCTATTGTAATAATTCCTAGTCCATGGGAACGAAGCACTGTGCTAAGTTCTTGTTAGCAGCACGATTACCTCCGCGTCGTCCGCAGCCATAGAGACAACGCCACTTCTACGTCATACGTCATACTTACGTCCTCGGTTGCACAGCAACCGAGGACAACGCGGAAAGAAGGGTTCAAAGAAGAGTGCACGGTAAAGCTGTAAACAGACTTTAGATTATATCATTGTAACAGTGATGATTTGCAAGAAGTGACTTTTAAACGATGTCGATGTAGCGGTTTAAATGTCCTTGTTTGTAGCCATTTTAACCATGTTTAATTAGAGTTAGCCCACCTAAACAATGATACACAACATTGTACCCAGCAGTTTAACAGTAGCGTGCAACGCTATCCAACATTAGGTTAGTAAACGGCCCCAAATGATCAAAATAACGTTACGTTTCTAATAACCTTGGATTGATTAGTTTAGGTTGAGTTGTTCAATAAACATGTGACGGTACATTTCACTATAACAACATATACTTGACATCATAAACCGCTTTGCTTTCTAATGTTAGCATGGCTTGTTTTAGTAATTATGTCACTTGTTTTAGTTTAGCTAAGTTAGTATAAAGAACATTGGAAGTTGGGACACGCATTTCATTTGTGATGTAGTCTGTGCCTTTCACACTTAGTTGTCCAAACTTCCACACATCAAAGTGAAAGGAATTATGTTTGGATGGATGTGTGGATTGTGTTTGTATGCAAATGGTATTTTTCAAATGATCGAGTCCATTATACTGCTATATTGAAGTAGATAAATGAAAACCGTCAAGGTTGATCACTACCACCATAGTGTACTAATGTTCACCATGGGACATTTTCACAGCAACATGCAAACTTAGAGGGCCTGACGGATGTTGTTCCATGTTAACTTGTTTTTTTCAATACTTATATATATATATATATATATATTTCACAACAGCCTCTGAACCGAGATGCCTCGCTCTGCAGCAAAATCCCGAGCTGACAATCAAAGTCGAAGGTCCGTTCAAGCGATTACACCTCCAACAGAAGAACTGGAAGCGGCTGATATTATCCCCGTTGTCTTAACTCATAGCCAATGGACGCACATCTTGACCCAGGAGGATTCAGACGAAGCAGTGGGGGAAATCATGGAGGAAGTGTTGAGCAAGGTCACGGAAGGTTGTTTCAAAGCCTACATTAAGAGACAGGTAAAACTGAAAAGGCAAAAAGATTTTTATTTGTATTTCCCTGTGAACAGCGACCCACTGGTTGACACCCATTGAGAGATAGAAAAAAATCGTATCTTACCATCACTAATTTCAACCACAAATAATACAGGTACAACATTCATGATATTTCTGTGTTCACTTTCAAGATAACACCGTTCTCCGTGTCGTGGGCCAAGAGCTACCTCACACAGATTGTAGAGCAGCACATCTTGTGCCCAGATGAAGGGGGAGTACCAGAGAAAACATCTAAAACTGAAGACTCGGAGCCTCTGCCGCCACCTTCGGATCCCTGGGTTAAAGGATCTGTGCCTCTTGTAATGACAAGCCCGCGACATCACGCGGCCTCACAACAGGTACTCTTAATTTGACCTTTCTGCTGCAAGTCTCTCCGGATTGGATCGAGCAGTATCTTTATTCATATCTGTATGTCTGTATTTACCTAACAGGATGATGACATTGCACAGGTCCCAGTACAAGCAGAGCCAAGAGTCAACCGGAAACATGATATTATGCCTCTGACAAAAAGATCTCCAAAGAAACCTGAAAAGAAAACGACTCCCACGACCCCTCCCAGCTACAACTACCAAAAAGTGCGTAGTCCTTTTCCTCCACCCAATACCCAAGCCACTTCCAAGCAAATTATTTCCATCCCTACCTTGTTCAGCAGAGAAAAGGGATGTGGATGTAGATTTTTCTAAGCACACAGCTGGATCCTTTCATCAGCTTAAGAGCAGCCAACCAATTCAAAAGCTGGATTACTCTTTGCTCCCTCGACACATCTTTCCTCAGTATGAGATTGTGGAAGAAAAATGGACAAAACCTGACTCCAGGAGACCAAGGGGACGTTCCACACTTAAACCAGGATATGACAAGCAAACGGAGTGGATAGTAACCTCACTGAAGCAACTAACCAGCTCCACAAATCAGCTAACAAAGTTTCAGAAGGCAAATGAGGCTGATATCTGGCAGAATAAATTCCCCCCCACTGGACATGGAAGGGACAGTATGGTGTCCTCTGGGTCTCTCAGGCTGGACACAATGGTGTTGGCCAAAGGTGTTTCTCTCTCAGACTCTCGAGCAGTTGAAATGAACCCTCTCAACTCTTCTGCAGAGCCAACCAAGCTGAGGCCGTTACGAAGTGATGTTACCATGCCACTGTTTTCTGTTGATCAGGTTACCTCAGGTCCACCACCTCAAGTCACACCATTGTGTCAGAGATAAGAAAAGGTATCATAAAATGTGTTTATACCACTATTGAGGTTGTATTTAGAGCAAGATGAGCCAAATTTCATTGAACAATATCCTTCTAAAGTCCTATAGTGTGCTCTGTCGGCTGAAGGAATTAAAAGGATTTGCATTACAATATTGTTACGCTGTGCACATATTAAGAAGGTACCTAAAAGACTGAATACGTTGTATGTGTTTTCATTGCTTCGATATTATATCAATATATACTTACAGAATATATAAACAAGAAAGGCTAGATACGCCTCCCACAACCTGTTGCAGTTTGATAGAAGGTCCTAATATAAAAACTAAAAGCAAGGATATTTCAGTATGTAACATTAAGGCTAAATTCTTTGTGTTATTCACATGCAAACCTGAACACGCCTATTTTGAGAGGGGAACATAATTCATCATAATTCATAATTCATGTTTGAGCTGTTGAATGGTGGGGGATGGGGAAAAAACACATAATATTTATAATATTAGTTCTATGATATTATGTTAGATTATATTAGAAATATGAAATATGATGCTATATTTAGGATATTAGTTGTATGATATTGTGTTAAATTATATTTTATATAAATATTTGAAATATTATACTGTTTATTATATTAGTCATATTATGTTATATGATATTAGTCATATTATCAGTTCATTCATCATTATGGACAGTTTTACGATTTTGCCTAAATTGGATTTTCAATAGTGGAGAGAAAATATACTGTGAAACAATGTAGCCAGTCTGAACTGTAACGAAGCCGATTGCCAAATGATCACAATTATTTCTTTATCGACATGACTCTCAACTCCTGTTTTTGGATCATTTGTCGTCCGTTTACTGGATGCCACATCTTACTGCATCCTGCAGCTTCTAAACCCTCTGATGTTTTAATGGTTCTTATAAATTACTATCGAGCGGAATATTAAACTTCACATGATGCACATCTGCGTCTGGTGTTCTTTTTGGTCGAACATCAATGCAGCGAGAACATTAAACTCAATGAATCATCCTTGCGTCTTCCAGCGCTAACGTTAGATCCTCCGCGCCAACCTGGAAACACTGAGAGGTTTAAATGGTGTCAGCACATTGAAACATTTTACAGGCTGAGTCATTTTTAAGGGCGGGAGACACTTTATACTTTTGCATGTTAAGATTTTTTGACCAGTTGCACCGGTCCTGGTTGAAAATGATCACCAATAATGTAAATAACACATTCTTGACACGATCCTTCAATGAATGCGCAATCTTCCAGATGGCTGCATAACAACATCGACAACAACTACTACTACTACTACTACTACAACAACAACAACAGGATCATTTATATTTGAGGAAGATTTTAGGTTAAAGTAACAGATTTGGGTTTGAGGCAATTATTGATCCCCATTTGCAGTCTGAGGAAACAATAACATTATGTTGTACACACTAAATCCATTCAAATATATGAAATACTTATTTATTGTCAGCATCCAAACTGGATCTAATCTTTTAATGGGAAGCTTACCAAGACAAAGGCCTTCAACTCACATCACAATGAAACCAATACTGAATTTGAAGCAAAACACAATCTAAGTTACAAAAAAAGACATAAAAAACCTAACCTCATGCACCATTTCATTGGCACTTCAGTAAATATTGTGAGAATGTTGGCAGAGTTTCTGTTGTTGTTCAGTTGTTTTGGGTGCAGAAAGTTGTGCTCATCTTTTCAAAGAAATCCTCCCAATTTTCTTTTTTCCAGTTGTTTTTCATCTTTTTTGTTGTTGACTAATCTAATATTTGTGTTCACAGAATAATCATTTGGTTTTAGTTTGGTGCTATTTGCATTTATTGGACATTTCTCTTTCAACCCCTTCAAATGAGGCCCAGGATAGATTTATAACAGTTTTCCTCAAATCATAATAATAATCAATGATTATAAAGTTTCTATTATTTCTGCTCTATGGGAGGTGACAACTTTGAATGCTTTTTACCACACAATGAACTATTAGATGGCTCTTTTCTATAGCAAGTTGTAAATCGGCTTATTTGATGAAATTGCACTTTCTTGTTTTCTTCTGGGTTTTAGATGAAAGCGTCAGCTAAATGATATGAAATGTAACATAAAAATCTGTAGGACAAATCTCATTATTCCCTCTAGACTTCTGGTTCATTTATTATTTACACATACTCTCCATTCTGAAGACGTACCGGAACAAATCTCAATTTTTGACCATTTACGCACTCATCCATCTTTTATATATATATATATATATATATAAATATATATATATATATATATATATATATATATATATATATATAGAGAGAGAGAGAGAGAGAGAGAGAGAGAGAGAGAGAGAGAGAGAGCTATAGAACGCATAAGCATTTTTTTCAGTGGGTCTAGAGAGCACCAATCGTACGGGAGACTGCTCGTGCAACCTACCTTGTTGAAGCTACTTGGGGCGGGCGCTCAAAAAACAGCGAACCAATAAAAACTCGCCCTGGCCGCGTCTACACGAATCAGAGAAGTATTTGCTTTGGCAGCATGTTTGACCGATCCATTGCACATGTGTGAGCGCAATGAAGGAAAAGCTGTGTTGATCACAACTCAAACATCGGCATTATCATCATATTTAGAGCACATTGGACATGAAAAAGGAGTCGACCGTTGCTGAGAAACGGGCAGAGGTACGACCGGCGACATGTATTATGAATTTAGCTGATTTCTGACTTAGTTAAAACACGCGACAGTTTACTCAATGGTAACACGGGTGTTGCTTACGGGCTACAGTTTTGGTATTTCACGTTACATTGATAAGACTTTGCGTCATGTCTGCTTAAGAGGAGCTGCATGTACAGTAGATACAGTCGGTAATACTTTTAATAATGAATTGTTGCGCGAAATGCGTACGTTAATTAACGCTTTTAGCGGCATACACCTGGTTAGTTAGCTACCATTAGCCCAGGGTGCATATTATAAGCTGCTTATCTGACTTCAAACGAGCCATACAATTTAATGTCAAACGTTAAATGGACTGCCTCCACGTGCTGCTGTGCTTTTTTGTTTGTTTCACAGATGGTTCCCTCAGAGAATCAAGAGGAGGAAAGCCAGGTTTCCGTCAATGGCAAAAGGAGCAAACCCGAGGATGCCGGAGGGGAGGGTGAATATCACCCGGCGAAGTTGTCCCGGAGGGATCTGTACAAACCTCCTACAGCAGAGGAGCTGAACCAGCTGAAAGAGGCCGAAAGCCTGTTCCACTGCAGCCTGCTCAAAATGCAGGTGAGACCTCCTGAGCGCCGGCAACGGAGACAAAAACATCTCAGATCCTCGCGTACAAATAAAAAGTCTACGATCTCTCGCCCATAACAGATGGAAGAGCTGCTGAAGGAGGTCGTCCTGAGTGAGCGTAGGAAACAGCAAATCGACTCCTTCATTCAGACAGTCACTGAGCTGCTGCGGACCGTACCAGATTCCCCACAAGTTGAGGTATGTGGTACAATATCTGTAAAAACAGCTTCACAATTGGGCATAGGATCTCCGTTGTATTCTTTCAGCCTTCCACAAATTTGCTAAAAATATACCAGTGAACACATTTTTGTACTTGCCTCTCTCCGTGTTCAGTTAAGTGACCTGTCATGGCTGTCAAGTGCAGTGAAGGTTCCTTTCCTCCTGGTGCCCAAAACGACCAAAGGCAAGTTCCACATGGCGCCCCCTGCTTCTGTTGATCTAATCGGCAGCTACCCGCTGGGCACCTGCACCAAACCCCGCATCACGGTGGACCTGGCTGTCACAATCCCAGCTGTAAGTCACCTGTCCCTGTTCATTCTTGTAAACACATGTCATCTTCAAGCAATGCCATGAATGTGGTTTGACATTATAGTCACAAGAGACCGTTTTCATCCGTGTGTTTTTAGAATGTCCTCCAACAAAAGGACGTTTTGAACCAGAGGTATCCAAGGAAAAGGGCTCTGTACTTGGCCGGCCTGGCCCAGTATCTCGCTTCCTCCTCTGACATCGGAAGCATGCGTTACTCCTGTCTGCATGGCAATCGACTGCGACCGGTTCTGCTCCTTACCCCTTCTGGTATTTCACTTTTAATAAACATCATGTTGTATAACAACTACCAGCCTTCAAGAGCGTTGTATTTGGTTGATCCTTACGTGGATTTGACCATCAATTCCCTTAGTTTGCATATGCTTGTTTGGGTTTTGGTAATGATGGTACTGTGGTGTCCCGTGTGTCAGGTAAAGACTCTTCAAGCTTCACCTTGCGTGTTCATGCCGGTCCGCCTCCTGGGTTCTTCAAGCCCAGCCGTTTCCACCCGCAGAGGAACAATATCCGGACAGAGTGGTACAGCGGTTTGCAGATGTCCCAGGGTGAGATTTTTCATTCATACACGTCAAATATTATCACCATCACCCCATTACCTTTAATCATATCTTGATTAAGGGCGACATTCACGGCAACAATTCAATCAACATATCGGACCAATTTCTCCCTTTTTTTTCTGTTTGTGGCAGGGAGCAGCGAACCCCCCACCCCGCATTACAATAGCTCTGTTCTGGGGGATTTACTGCCCAGGGCTCACCTCCAGTTTCTGTCTGCTGTCAGCTCCCAGTGCTCGGCTTTAGCTGATGGAGTGGCTTTGCTCAAAGTCTGGCTTCGGCAAAGAGAACTTGACCAGGTAGGAGGCTTGAAATGGTTATTTTGCATCCAGAGCTTAAATGCCTCCTTTTAAAATTGTGTTTGTTCTGTCTTCTGACACTGTTTATCTAAACCTCACCACTCCATTGCTCTGTCGATGTGTTTTAGGGCACCGGTTGTTTTAATGGCTTCCTGGCGTCAATGCTGTTGGCTTATCTGCTGACCACTCACAGAATCAGTAACTCTATGACCGCCTATCAGCTGCTTCGGAACAGCTTGAACTTCCTGGGTAAAATATTTCTAATCCCCCAAACTGTTTTTTTTATTTCAGTGACACAACTTGATACATGTAAAATGACCTTCCAGATACCATGTAACTTATCCCCCCCCCCCCCCCCCTCTTATTCAAACCCTCAGCCTCCACAGACCTGACCGTGAATGGAATTAGCCTGGCCAGAGATCCTGACGCTACAGCTGTGAGTGGTCTAAAACTGTGCAAGAAGTTCATTAACTGTTACCCCCTAAATTAACCAGTACCAGTATTAATCACCTTTCTTTTCCTTGCAGCCGTCTCTTGCGGAGTTCCACAACGCTTTCCAGGTTGTGTTTGTTGACCCGTCTGGACATCTCAACATGTGTGCTGACATGACGGCTTCTACCTACAAACAGGTAAGTACTGGAAACGGTTTGTGATCTTTGCCCAAACTAGATGACGCTTTTACACCCGTGAGATTAAGCCGGAGGTTTTGATCATTGTCAAATTTGTTCAGCTGCAGCACGAAGCGTCTGTATCGATGGAGTTCTGGGACAACCCTACGGTGGATGGCTTCGACAGCCTGCTCATGACGCCCAAACCCATGATAAGGACAAGCGACCACGTATTCCAGTACGGCTCTATGAACGATTGTTTGTTTCTAAGAAAATATTTTCCCCTTTTGGTTGTTAACGTCCAATTTTCCTCCTGCTTTTTATCTCCCACTCAGGTTATGTGAGCTGGTGAAGCTTCAGTCTAGCTGTAAGAAAATGGATCTCCTCAGTGAACTGATGGACCACAGTGGAAATTATGTCCAGACTGCGCTCCCTTTTATTTTGACCCTACTTCAGCAGGGACTGGGCCAAAGGATCCACCTCCTCACCCACTCCCTCTCGCCCGTTCCTGAGGTAGGAAAGGTTTATTTCTTGATTCTTCCCAGCTAATTATTGAAATTAATTTAATCACCATTAATACCGCTACTCTTACCACTTTGAATCAAACCGCTTGGAAAGTGTCTTTTTTAAAAGGAGTCAGAAATAAACACACATATGTTAAGATCACTGAACTTTTTTTTTTTTTTTTCATTAGTGGCCGGTGGAGAGTGAAGCCCCAAAACACAAAGATCAGCCTCCTCTGTCCTTTGGTTTGCTCTTGAATCCGGAGCTAGCAGCCTCTGCTCTGGAAAGAGGCCCAGCTGCAGACAGCCCCACGGTAACCGCCCCGCTTTCTCCTCTGTGCACGCGTGTAATGTTTTATTAGTTTTACCATCCGTGTAGAGGATACAGGATCATTTAAGTTCACTTAGTCAATTAAAAGTGTTACAAAGAAGAAACGGAATTGTACTTACTACTTATCATACAGTGTATTTTGTTCTTTAAGTCCTTAAATGTAAACATTAATTAATCCAATATGATTTTCCAAGAAACTAATGCTATATAACTGAATAAAGTTTATTTATGCAATTGTCACTTTTTTTTAATGGTTCGCATTTAACACTAGCAAAAAATAATTTATCACATGACTGTGCAGCATTTGTACATTTAAAAAAAGTTTGTTTGGTTTATTAATGTAACTTTATCATTCATGTGTTACCACCGTTGAACAATAACGGTGATCCTCCGTCTGCTAGGCGGCTGAGTTCCGTCAGCTGTGGGGTTCTCGCTCGGAGCTGCGGCGCTTTCAGGACGGCTCCATCACCGAGGCTGTGGTGTGGGGCGGAGAGACCATGTGCCAAAAGAGACTCGTCCCCAGACAGATAATTACACATCTGTTACAGCTGTATGTATTTAATCTTTGCATACTGAGACACTACAGATATCACATTATTTTTGTTTAATTACAGTGTTAGTTTGGTAGAGGAGTTTCTAGCTGTATTGATAATGCAAATATGCAAACAAACCAGAGGTTTATTCTGATTTGTAAACTATTCATATAGATATCTGTTCTAAGTAGAATAGCAGTGGTGAGGTAAAGGTTACAGGGTTAGGGGCGTTTCCATTACAGGTCATTTAGCAGACGCTTTTATCCAAAGCGACTTACATTACACTTTAAACCCATGGCTTTTTCACATTTTTGCCCGGGGAGCAATTAGGGGTTAGGTGTCTTGCTCAGGGACACTTCGACATTGAACCGCCTGGACTCGAACCACCAACCTTGTGCTTCCCAGCTAGATGCGCGTGTGTGCCTGGTGTTTCATGCTGAATACTATAGATTGGAAGTAACATTAAGTTTACTCAGATATTGTTTACATAATCTTCCCTGTAGAACCGGTCTAAACCGTGTTCTTTCATTAAACTAACTAGTCCTACATCATTTACCTTATTTAAACCACGGCAGGTTACCTCCTTCTCTACATGATTGTGAGTTTATTCTGCTCTCTGTATCGTGCCTGACAGCCAGCGTGCGCTGGAAAAAGTGTTGTGTTTTCGCAAACTCCCTCCCGCCGAGCCGTAAAGCTCTGGCAGACACGGGAACACGTTTAGGTGTAGTCCTTTTGACTGCATCGCAGCCTTCTAACTTTTAGTTGATTTGAAATCTGAAGAAAAAGTTTGTAGCGTTATTCACATCCGCAACCCATCAACAGTGGAAGAGTAGCTGCCATCTCTTCTTATGTAACATCCAATCAACTTGAACTTTGCAGCTCCGTAAGACATTTATATTATTGGAGGACCGAGTAAACCTCCATCATATACTGCTATGCAAGTTATGCATTTCTGTTTACAAAGATCATCATGTCAACATGCTCGGGGCTCAGTCTAGTGCGCATTGTTGCAAATATTTGTCCAGCCTCGGACAATAAAGACGGCAGCGATACCCCAGGCACGCACAAATAGTGCCTCGCCAGAGTGGCTAATTTGGGGAACCTTGGTCCGTTCACCCTCCACCATTCAAGAGGGTTTATGTCCAGTGACGGAGCAATGTCCCTCAAGTAGTAATCTACCTGGGCTTCAGAGTCTGTGGCATAGGGGGAACTGTAGTTGTCCCCCAAGAGTAACATCATGGTGTTTTTGGTGTCACTTCTCAGTTGCGCGGGCATTGCCACCTGGCTGATATCCGGTGTGACCGGGATCTCCTGCTGTTCATCCTTCGGGCCCACAGTAGCCGTTATCACATCTAATTTTGAAACCAGATCGTGCAGTTTAACCTTTGCAGCCAGTCTCCCCGTTGGCGTCAGGAAACTGAGGTGTTTGTGACGGGGGTCCAGCATCGAGGCGATCAGAGCTGGTTTGGAGGCTAGGTCGCTAGAGTCTACCTGCAAACAGTAAAAGTAAAATTAAATGTACAGTTTGGTAAAGACAAAAGAAAATAGGCTGTTTATCTTAATCCGCATCAATCTTCTTGTTCGCTGCCACTTATATAGTATATCCAGTTGAAGCACAAATTGATAGAAAGACGCCTACCTCCATGTGATTTCTAAGTGAATCCTGAACTTTCAGCTTGAACTCAGAGACTTGTTCAACGTCATTCTCCCTTGGCACGAGGTGGGTCTGAATGAGGCTGAAAGTGATTGGGTAAATGTTCGAAATGGATACTTCTGTGTCTGCAGATATCACTGTCGTTGCCCATTTCAGCGTTGCCAGCACAGGCGTGAAGTTCTCAATGATCTGCCAGCAATCATCTTCGATCTCTAAGCTCTGGGCTTCCTGCCGGTTGGTGATGGTGCGATCGGACAGCACGGCCTTAATGGCCCACCGCTGCTCCAGCAACCGCTCGAACATATCACAGATGGTGTCCCATCGAGCTTTGCACGACTGGATGAGCGCGTGCTGCGGCAGGCACATCTGCACTTGCTTGGTCTCCAAGGCTTCACTCGCCAGCAAACTGCGGTTGAAGTGCTTGACGAGTTTCCCCGCAGCCACGATGACGCCGACCAGTGCCTCGCTCAGCCCGTCGCTCACCGCCACCTGCAGCGTGGTGGCGAAGCACGTGGCGTAGTCCCAGGTGCCCCGGATGAACGCCTGTGGCGACGAGATGCCCCGCGCGCTGTTGTGGACGCACGCGGTCACTTTCCCGGCGATGCCCCAGATCTGCACGGTGCTCAGGAGCCTCCCCGTCACGCCGTCTGCGGGCGCGTGGCCGTCAGACGGCAGCTTGTGGGTCTGCAGCACGGCCGACCTGCCCTGCCAGTCCGCCGTTATGAAGGAACAGGACACCGTCACGTACCTCTGGAAGGGAAGGGCCGTCCACAGGTCGGCCGTGAGCGCCAGCTTCTCCACGTTGGCCAGCTGCGCCACGAGCTCCTCCGCTTTCTCGTGGAAGTGGCCCTCGACGAGGCGCGTGACATCTGCCGCGGACGGCACTTTGTAATTGTGCACCGTGTGCGCGAGGAGCTCCCGGAACCCGTCCCCGCCGACCACGCTGACGGGCAGCATGTCCCTCTCGATCATCCTGGAAATGAGCTCGGTCACCTCCGCGTGCGTGGCGCCCGAGCCGCCGTCGCCGGGCATGGTGTCGGGGTGCTTGTTCTTGATGTGGTACATCATGCTGGTGGTGCTGCTCCTGTATTTCAGCTTGGTGTCGCACATCGTGCAGTGCACCTCCTCGTCCACTTTGACGAAAATGTCCCACACGGAGCTCCTCTTCAGGCGCTTCCTCTCGCCGTACTCGCGCTCGGAGAGGCGGGCCCCCGCGTTGACGTGGGGCGACATGATGGCGACCTGCATGATGTCCGCGCCGGCGGCGGCGGCGCTCTCGTCGTCGACGCACTGCACGGTGCAGATCACCGGCTTCTCGTCCTCGTCTGACGGCGCGGTGGACGGATGGTGCCGGCTCATGTGGTTTATCATGGAGCTGGTTGCTCCGCCGCAGTACTTCAATCTCGCGTCACATTTCATGCAGCGGACAAAGTTCCCCAGTTGTTCAAAACAGTCCCACACCGAGCTGCGTCTCCTGCCCGTGCGCTTCATGTTTTTCTTTCCGTTTTAGCCGTTGGCTAAATAACTAACTCGCAAAGAAAGGACGTTAGCGAGCTAACGCTGGCTAACGCTAGCTAATGTCAGCGCAAAACCCGTCGCAAAACCAAAGGTGTTTTGGTTAATGAACATGCGATTCGACACCCGTCTGCGACAACTATAGATAGGAGGGAGTGTTGGTGTGGATTTGTTGAAGCCTCGTTCTTATAAAGATAATAATGTATTTCCAGGCATGCAGACATCCCTGACTCCTGTATTCGATATGTAGGGGCGATGGTTGATGACGTCATCCAAACGGGAAGTGAGGTAAAAGCTTGATTTATTCTTCATATCAAATGAAAAATAAAGGTGGTGTGGTTAATTGAACAACAATACCGTTTTTTTATGTTTTGAATATTATTTAGTGGCATGGTTTGTTTATATCCTGTTGCAACTTAATGAATGGCATATTTCACATAATTTCTCTGCTTTATTTCCTGGCATGTTGTTATCTTTATATTTCTGTTTAATTGGGATTCATGCTGTTTAGCTACTAAACTAATACAGTATATAATAAATTGTAGCTTCAGCAAATGTTTGATCTGTATTGTCCTATGCAGGTGCCCAGCACTGGAGAGGAGGAGAGTTTACTAGTGGTTCAGTCTTATGATGACCTGAGTAGGAAACTGTGGGGTCTGAAAGGTCTGCCTCTCTCCATCACAGCAGTGCAAGGAGCCCACCCTGCACTAAGATACACACAGGTAAAGCCTTTTTTTAAGTAAATGCTGTAATTATTTCACTGACAACTAGCAGTATTGGTAGAATGAACTGATCCACTTGCATGATTTAAACGGCACTGCATTCTGTTGTCTGCTACATTGTGTGAATTTGAATTTGCCTTTGACAGTTCTAACATTTCATCTGTGTCCTGCAGGTCTTCCCCCCTGTGCCACTGAAGGTGGGCTATTCCTTCTTTGATAGAGAAAAGACTTCCAGATCATTGGTGCCAAAAGAAAGCAAACCTTGCCCAGCTTACATCACCCCCATCACAGGTAGATACTATCCACTAGCAACCTCTTAAACATTTCCATTACTGCATTCTTTGCCATTGAGTAGTATTTTATGAATTTTTACACTCTGAAGCACAATTTCCCTAGATTTCTGTACTGTAGTTTTGACAGAGGTACAAACTATGTATTCAAAGCAGGAACGTTACCACCACCTAACCACAGAGATTAAGCTATACAAACTCATCATTGGTGACCCTGTTCTTGCAGTGATTTGTCACATGGAAGGAAGTGGAAAGTGGCCTCACGATCGCCTTGCCATCCGCCACATCCGAACTGCCTTCCACATCCGCCTGGGAGTGTTACTCGAGAAGCAGCACGGTTATACATGCAAACCCTGCCCAGCTCACCTGGATGTCTGGAAGGTATATTTTTGAGTTAGTTTAAAAGTCACCCACATGTCTTTTAAACAATTTGCACAGTTAACGTGTATTTTATTTTTACCCCGTTTTAATACCATTTGTGTACACATCCAGGATGGCTTGCTGTTCCGCATCCAGGTGGCTTACCACCGTGAGGCTCAGGTGCTGAGGGAGAGGATGACTGACAAGGGGCTACTGGTTGTAAGGGACAACGAGGAGGCGCAGACCCTGGAGATGGCCACCGTTCATAAGCCTCTGCTTACCAGCACGTTGCATGGGTAAAATGAAGACCGTAGTTTTACCCAGATAAAACATTTGCGCATAAACCCCCCAAAAAACACTTAAAAATCAAGACCACGCACGACCGTGTGTCGGATGTGAAGTTTCCTCTTTTAAACCTATATTTTGTTATTCAATTTAAATCCTCTGAGGTTATATGTTCCTACTTTGCCCTTCCTTTCTGTTGTCATGTTTAATGCCCGTTTCTTCGTTGTTTTGCTTGCTGTCCATACACCATTTCTTCACGTCGTACATCTCATCCTGTTGTTGATAGGCTCCAGCAGCAGCACCAGAGTTTTGGGGGATCGTGTCGCCTGGCCAAACGCTGGCTGGGGGCTCAACTCTTCAGCAAAGACATCACAGAGGACACAGCAGACCTGCTGGTGGCATCTCTTTTCCTGCAACCTGCACCCTTTACTCCCCCGGGGTAACTACGCCTCCTACTTTATTCATAATCAGTCGACATCATCAAACTCATTTGGGGGACATGTTTGTTTTTTGCATCTTCCCTTTGCATGTTCAATGGGTCATGTGAAATGTCTGTCTTCCTCAGTTCTCCTCAGGTCGGATTGCTTCGTTTCCTTTGCCTGCTGTCTTCCTTTGACTGGAGGAACAATCCGCTCATAGTCAACCTCAACAACCAGCTTACAGGCAGGCACACTGTCACAGACCCCTTTCCCCTTAGTGTCACACAAACGGATTCCCCTGAACCACATTTTATCACACCCGACATACTTTTACATCCTGCTCGTATGCCTCACTGTTTCAACGGTAGGTTGTATTGTGGTTCACTTCTTTCTCTTTCTCTCTCTGCAGCCCCCGACTACACAGAGATCAGGAATGACTTCATGGCCTCCAGGGAGTCTCTGCCCGTCTTGTTTCTAGCTACGCCTAAAGACAAAAAACAATCCCTGTGGACCAAGCGTGCGCCTAGTGTACAGGTCAGCCCGACTCTCCCTTTACACATTGGATAAAGATAATTTGAATACTGCAATTGGTCACTCAAAGGGATTACGTAGGAATTTATCGCGAGCTTCTAGGTTACATTGAATGTTATGTACCGTATTTTCCGCACTATAAGGCGCACTTGAAAGCCTTTAATTTTCTCAAAAAACGGCAGTGCGTCTTATAATCTGGAGCGCCTTATATATTGATCAATTGGTTGGACACGGCGCTCAAGGTGCTCTGTCAAAATGTTTCAGTATGAAAAACCAATAATAATAAATATGTTTCGGTACGACGCTTGCAGCATTACGGCTACCGTAGTCGGTAACCACCAATACTGTGCTCACTTACAGTTAGGGTGACCAGACGTCCTCTTTTCGCCGAACATGTCCTCTTTTTGAGACCTAAAAAATGCCTCTGGCAGGGAATCCAAAAAACATCCTGGATTTTGCTTGTTTTGATGTGACCGTAAAAGAGTCCGGTACCACACTGTAGTGTACAGAAAAGACAAGCCGGCCAGCTTGCCATGGTGCGTAGCTGACCCAGATCCGCTTCCTGTGCAATCCCATCTTCCCGCCCCTCCAAGCCAAACATGAACACGAAGCCTCGCTCTGCCTCCTCCTTTAGAACAGTGGCGGAGAACAGGAACCGTGTGCTCGGACGTCCTCAGCGACATCATTGTTGCCTAATCGCAACTTTCAGGGGGATTTGCCCCTTTTCTGATCGCATATTTACATACTGACTCACCGACTATAAAAACCTAAATGCTGTTTCCAAACAAAGCGCTGAAGTGTGACTGAGTCTCAATACCTCTGAATGACCACTAGAGAGCACTCTTAAGTGCTTTCTAGCAACATTCCTATACTACCATGGCCTCTGAAATGCACATTATGGTTGTGTGTTTGAATTTCATGAAGTGCATGAATTGGGGCAGCAATTTTGCATTCTCAAAATGACAAAGAAACAATGTTGTTCCACTTTTATGCACTTGTTGCACTTGAATGCTGTAGCACAGAAGATGACAAATATGACACACAGATTAATTACCGCATGTGTTTATTTCTAGTAATCAGTTTGGTCCTGTACGCATTAATTTACCAGTGCAGGAACTCGTACAACTTCCAGCTGTAAATGTTTTTCTTCCAGCTGCAAATGTAACTGAACTGTTGCACGAGACAAGTTGAGACAAATAAAGCGGGCGGCTTTGTTATGCAACAACTGCTGGATATTGCTCACACACAAACGTGCGTGCGCGTGGGCTGTTCATGTCTGCAATTGTTGGTCATTTATTTTCCCTGGGAAATTGGTCGGAAATGCCTGCGATAACTGACAACAACAATGGAGGCCTATCGATTTTATGTATGTTTGAAATTATGTGAAATACCCAAAGCTACCGGGTTTACCCGCCAAATGTTTTGTCTCCGTCTTCAGATGCTGCAGCGTGTGGTGGTGGTGGCGGCAGAGAGTCTTAAGTTACTGGAACATCAGCTGATGGACAGAGAGCAGATTCAAGATGTCCGGGTCGGTTAAAAGCTCTACTGGACTTCAATGGTCCACCCTGAACACATTCTGGTTTAATTTTCCTCAGCCATGTGACCCAATGTCTTTGTATGTGTAGGTGGTCATGCGCCCTCCTCTGGATGCCTACGACGTGTTGATTCACCTGAACCCAAAGCAGGTTCCCCTCCTTGCTCAGGCAGTGGACCCTCACCCTGTCACTTTCAGCAGGGGCCTCATGGCTGGCCGCATCGCCCCGTCTGGAGGGGCCCTGCCTGTGATCGACTACAACCCTGTGTCGCTCTACCTGGCAGAGCTCAGAGTGAGTTTCTTGTCTGCCATAAAGCTTAGGTTAAAAGCCAGGCACGCTTTTGATATTGTCTTGTTGACACAGCATGTGAGGAAGGCTGTGCAGCGGGATTTGCACATGCAGGCTGCGTGTGCAAATCCCGCTGCTCCGCCCAGCATTCAGCCGAGCATTTGTCTCAGCTTCCGGAAAGGATAAATTTCCAAGAACTGCACTGTCCACAATATGTTTTTCCTAGAAAGATTTCAACGGTTTGTAAATGCACAGCAGGAACATATTCTTTCCTTGTACTTGGGGAGGACAGAATGGTTGCTGCCAATATTTGAGCAAACTAGAAAGGAACAGATTAAAACAGGTTGTGCTTGAGTTAATAACTCACACAATGGTGAGATTTATGCCTGATCAGATTGTTTTTCTTAGTTTTATAGCGTCCTTAGAATTTGTCTTGAACTATTATGACTTCATTCTCATATTAGTTACCCAACAGTTTATGCAATTGGTCTCGGCACCTAGAGAAAGAGCACACGGTTTGGAGTACCGTAAGTGAGCATTAACTGATCTAAATCATTTTCAGGATGCTTTTGGCGACCTAGCCCTTTTCTTCTGCGACCCTCATGGCGGAACAGTGATCGCAGTTTTATGGAAGCCAAAAGCCTTCGTCCCAATAGGCTTCAAGGTAAGACCAAGGCTATGTCCTCTATCCAAAATCATGAATGTAGGAAAGGAGACTTGGATTGTCAATGTCAAGGGCTTGATTGGTTTGTCTGACGTCATGTTTTCTGTTTCCCTTCATGGAAGACGTCGCAGATGTCTGCGCGGAAAGTGGAGGTGAATGGGGAGCAAGCGAATACCATTCCCAACGTCGAGGCCATACTGGAGGACTTTAGGATCCTGGGAAAGGGCTTGATCAAGTCTGTGGACGCCAGGACTGAAAAATGGTCATTTTAGACATAGCATTTCCTTGAAAGACGGAACAATGGTAAAATTGATTTTTAGATTTTTGTCAGCAATGTTGTCGGTCAATGTGGTTCAAGAGGAACTAGATGTTTTTCTGTCAAAGGCTATGGCTAATAAAATCTTATGTACTCTTGATTTGAACTTTTCATTGGATCGTCTGGCTGCCTCTGGCTGGGGCTTTAATTAATTTGCAATTGCTGCAGAATAATAATCTTTAATCACGGATGCATTAAATCATAGTCTCTTGAATGCAGACAAACTGAAGTATGCAGTTGTTTCAACAGTACTAAGTATGACTCGTCACATTCTGGACACCAAGAATCTGACAAACATTTTAAATGCTGAATCTCTCAATTTCAATAGCTCTGGGACCAAACTGATTTACCGGACACCGGGTCACTCTTGGAGATTTGATTTGAATTGGGCTTCGCCTTTAAATAAGTGACTGAGCTTCAACAACCAACCAGCAGGGGATGCAAAGATGGTCAATAGTCCTGTGATGTATGAATAGTAATGGAGTTAAAGATATATTTTTTTATTATATACAACTACCTGAATTCCCTGATTCTTTTCATATAGCTGTGTGTTATAATTTGTAATAACCTCGATGCATGACGGTTTTAATTTCAGGTGTACAGTTCTTGACACTACTGGTTGGTATCGTCCATATTTTCTGCCAAGCTGACGCATAGGATGTTATTCTCCCAACCTGTTGGCAGATTAATCATGATTGGTTGCGGTCTAACATTTTTCTAGTGAAAGTCTGGGTAAATTCACCAGTGATGGGCTTGATGCGTCATATACACAGTGCTATAATCGAATTGTGTCATCCTCACAATGATATAATTGTAAAACCTGTGGCTTGTGCAACTTTTTTCTGGGAACATGATCCTAAAGCAGACGTCTTGTATTCTTGCTCAATTATGGTGTAATCTTGACCCAGATTAGTCAGATATGACCTGAAAAGACCTCCTCATCCCATAGGTCTTATTTTCCTGTTAAACCATTAGTTATCTTTCAGACTTTAAGGTTAACTTTTTTTTTTTTTTAACACTTAATTTGTTTTACGATATCAAAAATGGGATCTAGTACTCTTAACCTGCAACGAATTATATCAGCCCCTTTAAATCAGAGTGGTTTCTCTCATCATGGCCGTCTGGCTCGATGCCAAGGTGACAACCTGCGGCGTCTGTATAAGAGATGAAATATTTCTCCACTTGTCTGCAACTGACGGGAAAACAGCTGGCACTCCTGGAGTCCAACACATCTGGTAGACAGTGTAAATATGGCCATCAATCAAACAAGGGTAATGATATAATATATATAATCTATATATATTATATATGATAGATATATATATCAGTGATGACCTCCACCATGGCATGAATATCTAAAGTACTTAAAATTCCATCATTTGGGATGATCTCAGATCCGCACCGATCACATAAATCATGTAGCTTTGCTGCTGGCGCTGTGATTGTCATGAGTCAGATTTCCCTGGGATTGTTCAGGTGAAACATATTACATACCGTGTCTTTGGTTTTCACGACCATTGTTTTAGCCACGTTGTCTTTGAGACGCACTATTTGCCAGTCAAGTAGAAAAATGTGTTCTCCGCAGTTTGTCTCCGCAGGTGGCACCGCTATACTTGAGCACCTTTTTTCAGACTCAGTACAGATACCTGCATTTGAGTACTGGAATTCTCTACACCCCCCCCTCCCCTCGCTGACAGATCGCTCACAGCCAAACGGATGGATGTGGAGGAGTCTAAAGTGGCTGCGTGGGTCTACTGACAATGCACGCAGCATTGCTGCCTCCAACTGCCCCACAAACAGGTCGCTGCCTGTTCGGATGGATTCAACAAGCTGCTTCATGAGGTTATGGTTCAACATGCCATCGGGTTCATGTTATGTTGCTGCTCCCTAATCGGGTGGGGTACATAGGCACATACCAATACCATAACATCTAATTCATATAGAAAATGTTGAATGAGTGTGTGTAATTTAGTTAGTGGCAAGTATCCTCTTTGATATGTGGACAAAAGTTTAATGTTCAGTCGATTCAAGGTGATAGTTTACACCACTTTCACAACAAGACACGCCAGAGCAGAACAAAGGAACTCCAGAGTACAGAAAAGGTGCACTGATTCTTAGCGATGTCTGCGGGCTTTTAAAACCCAAATGTTCTCATACCTCCATTGAAATCAAACAAAGAGGCTATCGCATGTGGTGATGAAGTTTCAGACGGGACAAAAGAGCAGGGAAAACGAGGTGATGGATAGAGAAGGTAAATAGAAATGCTGTGTGTTTGTGTGTGTGCTTGTGTTTTTTCGTGCGTGCGTCTGTGAGAAAGAGAAAGAGCAAAAGCGGGCAGGAAGGAACTTATTTTCAAGATGTTTACAAGATTTTTCCTGTTGTTTTTTTTCTACGGTTTGTTTTATCACGTATTTCTAATCATTTCCATAGTCTGTGAAATGTAATGACTCCAATCAGAGTTACATGTGGTAACACATGTGTTGGCTCAGTAATTACATTTAAACAAAATCAAAAACACGACATACATACAATTCTCTGAATGCAACGGAACTTTATCGAACTAATCCTATCGTTTTTTACAAATTCTAAAACTGATGGAGGAAAAAAAGAAGTAACATCTTTACTATTTTCTCTTCCTCCAGGGACCAAATCTCAGATATTATTTGTCTAGGATTTCAAATTCTGGCTAAACTTTACCCTGAACAAATGGATGTGGGAAAGCCACGCTAATGCGTTCATGAGGTCAATGAAGCAGCTCATAAATACAACAATGTAAAGTGTGTGTGTGTGTGTGTGAGAGAGGGAAAGAGACAGGGAGAAAGCTGACCAGTGAGATCCACCTTACACCGAATCACGTCGTGACAAGCAGGGAGGCGTGGTGCAGAAGGTGGGGCCCGGCTTGGCACCGGCCCAGTCCGAGCCCTTTGCGGCTCTATAAGAGGAGTCCGGTCCTCCCAACTTCACAGCAACTCAGCAAACAACTACTGCCGACTGCATCCTCACTGCCTCCTCAGCCTTTCCCGAGAGAAAACATGGGACGACACAAGTTCTATTTGGACAAACTGTCCCGGTTCTTCCAGATCCGCAACCTGCTCCTTCGCCAAGCCCTGGCAGAGTGTCTTGGCACTCTCATCCTTGTGGTAAGTGTGCGCGTGCACAAGTCTGTGTGTACACATCATCTCACGCTGGAGTAGATCAGTGTATTTTAGGTTTTTTCAAAGCAGCCACGCTTTGCATGCTTTTGGATTTACAATGGTTAGTTATCTTGTATGTTATCAGTTATTCTGGGTTCCCCCCTCAAAGTGTTTACTTCTCTCTAAGAACGCTCATTATTCGTTTGCTTTTGATGTTGCAATAGGATCAATTACGCTTTGACAGCATTTGTAATACATCATTTTTTTCCGTTGGCATGTTTGAGAACTGATTAGAGAAACTGCTTGACATTTATAAAGTTCAAAGCCAGCAGAAAAACAGCGACAAAGACTGTGAATGTAGGGTCATTTTCGAACTGACTTCACAACAAAGGTAAGTAACAGGTTGTCACGGTCGGGAGACTTTGCTCTGTGAAAAAAAACGCTTTTCCTCTTGCCAATATTTGCTAAGAAGCTCCAATCCAGGATCCTGGAGCCGAAACTCTCATGACATCCTATAATCACTTTACACGAAAATGGAAAAGTACAAAGTGCACTTTTAAATACAACTCAAGTTAGTCATCTTTTACCACGGACGGATTCTTTAGAAATCAGAAATAGTAGTCATCTAATGAATGTTGTTTCATCTTAGAAGGAATGTTCTTTTGTTCATACATTCTGTCGCAGGTCTGTCTACACTGATGTACAAACAACTGCTACAGTAAAAAACATTTGATATTATATCCCTGTCTTGTGAGCAAAGTGGCACTTGGATCGGCATTAGTTATAAAATAAATAACTAGATACCGCACCCTGTTAAGTGACCTGAAGGCTCCCGTAATGGTTGACAAAGTGAGTTGAGTGACTAATTTCCTGTGATTAACGAAGCCACTCATGAAGGCGTCGATGCAAATTACTCTGAACTGAAATGAACATTTTATTCTGATGCATAATCTAAGTCAATGTACATAAAAAATATGTCCCTTTAAACAGAATTAAGTCTTACTAAAGTGCAAATACATTCAAAGAATCACAGTTTTGCAATTGACAACTACTTTCATGACATTGGAGGACTGAACATATTGCATCATTTTTGTAAGCCAGGTGTGACTTCTGTTGGTACAGATAGGTGCGTCGGGCGTTTAGCGACACGCGTCAGCACTGGGAGAGTCGGAGGCCGGACAATGGGCACGACACCGACGTGACGGACGGAATTTTCCTTCCTCTATCAGAGATTACAGAAGTCTCTTTTTTTTTGCTCCGTGATCATTACCTTTTCTCTCCAGACATCCGCCTTATCGATACACTTTTTCCTCATGAAAGATCAAACAAATCAACCTCCTTGTAACTACCTTGGCGATTTTGGCGCCCTCAGCATGTGTCACGAGTCCCTAGAAACTGTTGAATCTACAGACAGGATAAACAGGATATTCCAGCCTGAAGACAATTACTTTCACGGGCTCAAGGTAATATAATGGGTTTGGATGTCCGGTGGTCACACTTAAAGCGGAATGAAAAGTATCCAATACAGTACAATACAGTCCTTGAAGGTCACCTGCAGGCAGTGAATGTCTGGTAACCCCTCATTGCACTCTCACAATGATTGAGGAGCCTTAGGGGGCCTCTGAGGCTCTTCCTCCTAAATGTGAAAACATCACATTTAGATACTGGCCTCATGCCAGCCTTTTTCATGCTTCCAACTCCTAAACAATTGCCAAATGTGTGTTTCAGTATGCGGACTGCTTCTTTTTTTTTTAAATTGAAGACATGCGGAACAGAGAAAATATCTAAAACATACATACATTACGAATAGAGAAATAATGGACACTATAAAAAAGATGGTAAAAGAAAAAATTAGGAATAAATTAAATCAAATATGAGGGGGCATCACACTAAAATGTACACTTCACCAGGTAGTGCAATTGTGTGAAGATTTGCACAGGACACAAAGCTAATCCAGTTTGAGTGGGGAAACGGGGCAGATTCCTTCCACTGAAATAATGGCTCCGTTTTACGTAGATTCCTTCCAGTAATGGGTGGCTCCATCAGGGGTGGAAAAGAGTTTAGACTGAACACAGTGATGAGGGACGTCCCTTAGGCGCCAGTGCCTCGGAGTGCGGTTCCCTCAAGCTGACATCAGCATCGGAGTCCTGCGGTCCAACTGAAAAGAATCCTCATCAGGGGCCTTTCAGGAGCAGACGTCTATGCGTGGACCACACATGTTCCTGAACCCAACACGTACACACACACACCAATAAATACTGCACAATACAATACATGCAATGCAATCCTTCTTTTGACAGAATCTGTCACGTGCTCGTGAACACATCATTTACACAGCAACAGCCCCCGCCCCCCCTGATCCGCCCCCCGCCCACACCTCCCTCCACGAATCAAGTCCACTCTGTCCACGCAACTGTGTACCATTGCGAAGTGCACAACATGTTATTGAGACCAATGCATAAACTTGCAGTTGTGCTCTCTCTCTCTCTCCAGATGTTTGGTTGCGGTTCTGTGGCCCAGCTGGTGTTGAGCGGCGGTTCCCATGGCATGTTCATCACCGTCAACTTTGCCTTTGGCTTTGCCGCCACATTAGGCATCCTGGTCTGTGGCCAAGTGTCAGGTACACACATTTTCTCAGACAAATTCAATTTCAACCAGATCTGTACGTTGTATTGGAGTCTGGAGCCTTGGTGTATATTTTGTTGATGATGCACTTTGTTCATTGTCTACAATATGTACTGAAATTCTGTCTCCATGTACATTCTCAGGCGGCCATCTGAACCCTGCAGTGACCTTTGCTCTTTGCCTGCTTGGAAGAGAGCCCTGGAGAAAGTTCCCCATGTACTTCCTCTTTCAGACAATTGGTGGTTTTTTCGGAGCTGCTATCATTTTCGGCATGTACTACGGTAAGCCTCCAGATGTGAAGCCACATGTGCGAATGATGTTGTTACAACCATACATGAAGAGATTTGTGTTTCAGCTCCTTGGATCCAGTATCCTAGGAGCCGAAACTCTCATGGCATCCTATAATCACTTTACACAAAAACGGAAAACTACATAGTGCACTTTTAAATATCACTCAAGTTAATCATTTTTTACCACGGACTGATAGTAGATACCACGGAAGTAGTAGCTCATCATCTAATGTTGAATGTTATTTCATCTTAGAAGGAATGTTCTTTTGTTCATAGAGTAAAATAGATTCTGTCGCTGGTCTGTTTTAGGCTTCACACAGTCCAAGCGCCTGACTTGTTATTTGTTGCTATATCTTCTTGCTTGTTTCCCTGCAGATGCCCTGTGGGACCATCCGGGATCTTACGAAGTATCCGGGCCCAATGCCACAGCTGGCATTTTTGCTACCTATCCCGGAAACCATCTCACTATTGTGAATGGATTCTTTGATCAGGTACCCCTTTTAGGGTCATATCCTAAATTAAAAATGTAAAAATAAAACACGATCCCTCTGGCGATTATCTCATACATGTTCCTCTCTCCAACCCAGATAATTGGCACAGCTGCGCTGATTGTGTGTGTCCTGGCTATTGTGGACCCGTACAACAACCCCATCCCCCAGGGACTGGAGGCCTTCACCGTGGGATTCGTGGTTCTGGTCATTGGATTGTCCATGGGCTTTAATTCTGGTTACGCTGTCAATCCCGCCAGAGACCTCGGACCGCGTCTTTTCACCGCCATAGCTGGGTGGGGCGTTGAAGTTTTTACGTAAGTGCAGAGTTTTTTAAGCATTATCTGCATCCGCGTGTTTACCTCTGTGGGAGCACTGTGGGAGTGCTCACTTTTACTTCGCCCGGAAGACATAAAAGATATATAATGAATCATTTTTTCGGTCGCTCCTCAGAGTTAGAAATGGGTGGTTCCTGGTTCCTGTCTGTGCCCCATTCCTTGGAACCATCGTGGGTGTGGTGATCTACCAGCTGATGGTTGGCTTCCACGTGGAAGGAGAAGCGCGTGACTTTAAAAGCAAGCTGGAGGAGAGTGTCGCACTCACTGATGTCCCCAAAAATGAGAAAACCAATGAAAAAAACAAAAACATGCACTGATTGTTTTAGAGAGATGATATTTTCTATCACATGCCCATTATGTAAATACCGACACTTTCTTGCATTTTTCCTATAATATAAAGAATGATTGTTTGCATGTTTATAGGGGAAAAACACAACTTCAGAAACACAGAATTACATTAATTCTTTTTGGAGATAAACACTTGGAATTTAGAGTCTATAGCACTCCAGTTTGAACAGTATTGTATGCTTCATACCAATTTATTTTCATATAGATTTTAATAAAGTACATATATATATATATATATATATATATATATATATGCATTTTGTCAGTTCAAAACCTTTGACTTCTGTTGTTAACATTTGAATGGTTTGGTGAACGGTTGTGAACTCTGTTATTTAGAACTGGAAGATGGTGAAGCTCAATCCTTCCCACGACATTCTTCACTTCATCACGGCTGTCTAAAAACAACCATAATAAAGCTGCTGTCTTTTCATATACACTATACACTGTTAAGGTCCGAACCGGCAAGCTTACAGCCATCATGAAATAGCTTCGGCTAGCGAACGTGAGCAATTGGCCTTTTTGTGAGTAATAATTTGATGCTTCAAAATATCAGCTGACAAATGACAATGATCTGTTATGTACAGAACAATATTAACTGTCTTTATATAGTTATGCATACTTTGTGCCTTATTGTAACGTTGCAGTGTACGTGGTGTGTGACTTGGTTGGGTGCTACACTGGCTTGTTTGCATCCTGGTAGTTAATATGTAAGTTGAGGGGAACTGCTTTTTTACTGACTCAATAAAGTTCTCCTTTTGATTATTGCATGAATGTGGATCCTGTTATGTTGTTGTTAGGGTTTGTCAATAATACATCTCATTTTGGAAGGGAGTTAGATGTAATCAGGTTACACATACTAGAGAGAAATACCACACAGAACGGAGCAGCAGTTTCTACATTTAAGAGCTAAGCTGAATACAAGACCACAGCCTTTGCTCTATTAACTCAGCTGTGCTCTAATAAAGATTTCCTGTTCCCGAAAGGAGACAAGCTCCATCATTATGCAGTGCACAGCAGTGTTTTGCAACACTATTTAAAGGCCTTATCTGATTTCCAAGCATACCTCAGTATCTGCAGACCCACTGGGCCGCACTGCACACGTCAAATCAGACAAGCTCAGAAACTCCTGCCTACACGCCATTTATCAAACTACGAGTATTGGAGTAATGGATGCAAGTTGATCTGGTTCAGTGGTGGAGTCGTATTGGTCCAGACGGGCTGCAGAAGGGTGTGAGTAACCAGTGGGGTTTCAATATGTAAGAAAATGTCAAATAAGAACAGTTGTTAAACACGTACACACATGAAAAGAGAAAGGAAGGGTGAGTCAGAGAAAAAGCGATTTCACCTTAAACCTGAATAAAGGAAGCCATAATCTACCGTTGAAAGCCCAGAGCTGTATACAATCACATTCATTATTACTGGAACACTGTTTCACAAATTGTCGTACAGTTTCATTCACGTTATGATCTGACTGAAACGCGTTTACTTGCCCTCAAATATTTACATCTCCAGCACCATTTCTTACTGTTACACATTGTTGCACATCTATTCTCTAAATTCACATGCCACTTTATTAACATACCATATGAGTCACCCCATGGAGGCTTTGTAGTCAAAAAACACCCCCTTTTTCCAAAACAGAATACTTTCAGGCTAAACCTCAATATATCATCTCACATACCAAGTATATTCCTCTTCATAGCATCTGGTACAGGATCTACTTTTAAAATCTCTATCATATCCCCTGGGCCAGCTTGCTCATGCCAGAGTCTCATCAAAGGATTTGCACCCAGCTATATTTCAGCATTGCATAACCACAAATTCACAGAAACAATAAGCTGATAAATATGTAAGAAACATCAACAGTCCTCTACTACCTTTTATAACTGATAAACAAAGAAAGAATGGAAAGAAAAAGGTAAATTGCTCTGGGAAGTTCTAACAACTTTCTCCCTTTTTTTTTTACAGAACACTACAATGTAGCTCAGCCAGTTGTGTGGAGCGCCTGGTTCGGGCCGGTGACATTAAAACCCTGTTCTGTTTTACAAGGTATGAAACACCTGAGGGAAGAGCTAGTGCCATGTGCTGGCCACGTGTAACAGCAGCTTTTACCATGAAGCCGCGGTGGATCCAAACAGCAGACGGCTACATGCACGCATTCCGAACATCGACTTCTAAGAGCTTTGTGACTACAAAAACATTCACAATCATTCTTGGAAAATCCCAAAGACTGGATCCAAGAGGTGGCTTTACATCGGTAAATCACAGCCTGTCCCCGGGCCGTGATTAAACAAACCACTCATACATTGTTATTGACAACGCCCCACACGCACACACTTCAAAAGTTAAACACGCTGAGCAATACCTATTGCTACCTGTAATGTTTTGGATTATTGTTTTGGATTATCGCGTGCTCCATGCGATGTACATATTCAGAAATCCCTCCTGTACTTTTCAGCTTCTGTAGAAACACATCTGTTTATTGTTGCTCATGTTCTTTTCTCTTGCATTTTTTCTTTCATCCAAGTGTCAGACTAAATCGTTGCCCACGCCAATTCACAATGCAAAAGGGGTTTTAACTGTTTGCTTGCTGATATTTATATAGAAACTATGAGGTTATATAACGGTGGAGGCAGCCTCTTGAAGACAGCTTTCATTCAGTACCGGTCTCTGGTGGCATCGCTGAGACGCCGAAGGATGAGTAGGACTGTGCTTACTTTTAACAGTGTCCAGACTCTGAACTGGAGATGACTGTCCAGTTAAGGTGACTGTGTCACACGATTTATTGTCTGCCAGGTATTGAGAGGTCTAAGTCAGTCATTCCTAACACACACACACACACACACCTCTTTTCCTACTGTGTCCCTACCACTGTCTTGTGGCTCATCTGCAGGCGGACACACTTGTGCACACAGAGTATTTGAAAACCGATCACATGATCCACATTTGACAAGCACAGGTTGGGTGGGTCACGATCCCAACGCTGTTCACCCGATATGTGTGAAAACACGAGACCACAAGTTACAGTAAGTCAGCACACCCGCGTATGTATCGCTTTATTTGGAATACAAATAGTGGAGTATCCACCTATAACATGAAAGGAAAAAAAAGTCCTCAAACAAATATGAACTACATAATGATGTTTAGCACGTCTACTACGAAGATCAAAGTACAACGTCAAGCCAGTGTTGTTACCGTTTGGTTTACACACAAGCCAATGTCAATTATTTTGAAAGAGACAGAAAAGAATCTGTTTTTTTCATGTGGATGTTGTTAAGAGTGGTGCTATGTGTTGTTCATTAAACTGCTCCCTCTCATTAGGATAAACACTACCAGCAGGGGAGGGAAGGGTGTCTCTGTAGGTTTGGTGTGCAAAAATGTTATTAAAAGCACAAATTATCAGGTGTACATGGACGCTCCTTCAGGCTGGGTTTTGTCCCCACACGCTTGGTATGTAAAAATGAAGGAGAGATTAAATTGACCTACCCGAACAACACCTAGGCTTCTCCTTCACAAAACAGAACACGCCCTTTGGTTGGCCGTTGTAAGCGGACTCCTCCCGCTGGAGGTTTCCGTGCCACGGGGAAGGCCGTGTTTTCCAAGAAGCCTCACAACCGTCAACACAGGCTCAACATTTATGTGATTACTGAATTCCTGCAGACTGTCTGAAGGAAATGGTGATTTTATCAGCAACTGGCTGATGCGCTGATGGTAGAAAATAACACATTTTATTAGCCATTTTACAGAATGAAAATAACACATTTCTCACAAATGATTGACACATACACATAAAAACAAGTTAATAATTGTTAACAAAACAATTCTCAGTCAAAAACTGGTTCTGCAGCTTTTAACATCATCATCATCATCTTTACAGTTAAATTATGTCACCGGCCTATGAAGATGTGCGGTGAGCTTAAAAAGCTCAAGTGGACTTTGAGCAAAGGTCGTTTTTGTCAACGGCTGTTTCCAAGGTTGAGAGGAACTGAAAAGCTCAAATCAACGCTATAAGCACGCCTTTCAAATTCCAATGATGGGATGTTAGTAAGCTAAGTGCACCACACTACTGGATTGCACCGTGTTAAGACTATTGTCATTTGTCATATGAACTAGATCTAAGATTTTAATCTAGGTTTCTTGGAAAACCGCTGCCACCTAAAAATCCTCCACAAACTTGCAAAACAACTGCAATTATATTTCCCTTGAATCATTCCTGCATGACGGGTGTGCGCGCCAAGAGCCAAGACATGTTAAGTCAGGGAATTATGAAACAGGCCACCTGAGCTCGTCTCACAGGTGTTGAACATTACTGGGACATGATGGTCATGCAGTCATAGCTGACCATACATTAGTTTGCCGAGTATTTACCCAACTACAGGCGTTAAGCTACGAGTTACTTGGTCGAGCCCTTGAATTGTAATTAAAGTAAGCCTAGAAAACAATTGCTGAATGCTTTCATCCAATAACAAATCCCTTTGATCTCAAACACCGAAGGACTTTTAAAAGCTTAAAGTCTAGCTCACACTTCACGACAGCGTGCATCTTCCTGTGGTGGACGAGTCAAACAGAAACAGCCTGCTTGTGATCCGTGAGCTGTAACCGTATTCTGCTCTTCTCCCCGGGCAGAATTTCACTTTGCACAAGGGGCGGCGGCGTGGCTGAACAGCGCAGCCTTCAGGCCTCGTACAGTGGAGTGACAGTGCCGTCCTTCCACTCGATCAGGATTTCTCCTCGTTGGACAGCCGGGGACGACTGCGGGAGTCTCATGGCGTGCTCGGTCAGCAAGGCTCGGTCACTGCGCACCGGGGACCCGGGAGCGCTCCTCTCGGGCCTCGGAGAGTACGACTTCAAAACACACACCACTTTCTTCCTTCTGCCGCAGCAAGACAGAGAACAAGAAATCATTGGGTCTCCTGAATTCCATTTAAAAAGTACGTTGGAGAAACACGTTCTATACAAATCCGAGCAGGGCCTCAACTGCACATTTTTTCATGTTTATAATGATGGGAAACACTGAACTGGCAGCGGTCGCTTATCAAAACATTGGCCAAATAACCAGTATGTTCAGGCTTCATGAGCAAATACAGAATCGCTTTGTGTTCATCTGCAAAGCCGCATTAAGACACACATCACTTTATTTAATACGCTGCACTACTTGCAAGTCGCTGTGTTGTGCCAGACTCTCAACAAAACATTTAGGACAAACCCACGGTCATGAAGATACTCATCTAACGTTACATGGAATCTGCGTGAGGAAGAGGAGGAGGAAGAGGAGGAGGCTCCATGTTGCTAAATACCAACTTTCCACCGACCACTTTTCCCACCCGGTGTCGCTCCGATCTGCAGGCGCATCGCGGAGAAAACCAATCGAGTGTCCGGATGCTAAATGTTTATACTTCTCATCCAAACACAATCAAATGCACTGTCCGCATAGCGCCGTTTATCTAGTGTTTTGTGTTTGTCTTTTTGAACTACGACAAGCCGGAAGTAACGAGACTGTTTTTAAAATGTAAGGAGTAGAAAGTACAGATATTTGCGTGAAAATGTAAGAAGTAGAAGTAAAAAGTCGTCTGAAAAATAAATATTCCAGTATAGATACCCAAAATTTCTACTTAAGTACAGTAACAAAGTATTTGTACTTTGTTACTTGACCCCTCTGGTTAAGTGTATGTTTAGCACTCACCTGTTGGAGTGAACATTGAGCATAAGAATCACAATCCCGATGACCAGAGCCAAGGAGCTTAATGCCAGCATGGTGATCTTCCAGCCCATTCCTGCACACAGGCCAAGGAACACACCATTATTTTTACACACATGTGAACTGACTTTACCGCCCTCCAAGTTATTGTTCTTTTTCCAGCTCTTGTTAAATGTTTGCCACGACTTCAAATAAAAGCCCATTTAAACTCCTTTTCACACATTGCAAGGCGCCGACCACAACGTTCGCTCTCAATGTCACGTTCAGCCATCTCCACCTAGTGGTGGGAAGGTGTCGACATCTTTAGTGAATAATTGAGAGCCGTTCCATCCAATATTTTAGGATCAAATGATTCTATTGGAATAATACACAGAGGAGGGATTATTGAGTTCGCTCTACCAAACTTACCATTGTCCGTACTGAAGGAAACTCCAGTCAGATCTGCAGTGGATTTGTTGCTTGGCGACAACAGAGGCACATTCATTGCAGGATACGTGTCTGTGACTTCAACTAGAAGTAGACAAAAAAGACTGTGACACAGGTTTAATTTATTTGCCCTTGTGATGCAGGAGGTGGCAGTCGTTTGTCCATCTTTAGCATCAAGAAGGAAATCAGTTCAAAGAGGCCTGAAATAAACACAGCATGACTCAGCAAGCGGCGAGGCACTTTCATGGAGTGGTTGGCTGCCTTCCCGGACGAGGAAAGTATTGATTAATCAAAAGTGCTTTTGAATAAATGCAATCATCCCGTGGAAAGCAGGCATGATGCAATTTGATCTACAGTTGATGGCAGAAAATCACCCAACATCTGATTTTTCAGATGGACCTGAAATGTATCCCACAGACTACAGTTTGGAACCCACGTTGTCGATCAATGTGCAACATTAAATCGGTTCGGCTAAGGTGTTAGCCAAACCGATTCACAATGTGAATATCTAAATATCTGAAAGCAAAATATTAAAGCTTCATCACAAATATTTTTTAAGTTCTTTTCTAAAACCAAGTTGACCGTAATATAGAAAATAAATGTTTGGCTGGAAATTAAGAAAACTCTTGAAACATGGTTAGGGGGAGAAAGGGAGAAACGTTAAGATTCTTACATGGGTTAGCCTTTATGTCAGAGATGGCACTTTGAAAAATCCCAGACGCCAACGATTTCTCCAGATTGTGGTGAGATTTGTGTTGGTTGTCTCTGCCATTGCACAGGGTCTGGTTGTCAAGTGTTCGCCACCTGCTGCCAGGCTTGTAAAAAGAAGATTGGACATTTTATCATCATTATTAAGTAGGAACATTCGACAACATTTATCCTCCCTATTTCTAAGTAATCTGATTAAGGTACTATCAGAGAAAGACCCTCTGTCCCTCAAAAGCATCGTTACCTGCTTATGTTCTCTTGAAAGGAAGACCAAAGTGGATTCTTGCGTTGCACTAAGGTGCAGCCCCCTCTCCACCAAAGTGAGGTGGCCCCTCTTGGAACAGAACCACGCCTGGCCGCTCGCCTCTCTGCCCGTATCCGCCACGTCGCCCCCGGTGTCAGTCTGGACACTCTCCGGTCTTAAGACGCAGGGCTGCAGTTGGACACCTTCATACTGCTCTCTCGGTGCGGTCAGGCACTCCCCGGTGTGGTGATTGCGGAGAGCCCGGCTCCCCGGGAGCCAACGCCATTCCTGTAAGGCCGAATGCGGGCTGCAATCGCCCAGAGACACTCTGCCTCCATCCACCTGCAGGCATTTAACCAGCAGCTTGTTCTGAATGTGTAGGCCCCAGGTCTCTGTGGAGGGGCACACAAATGAAAAGGCAAATGTTATGATCCTCTAAGCCATAGTTGTCCATGAAGGACACTCACGCAGTTAAATTCAGTTCCATTTTTAAAGGAAAATGCATGGCGGCCATCTTGGGTCGGGCAGCTCGCCCATAACATCGTGTTGGTAGCGGTACATGTACTTAATAATAACTTCAACCGATTTTTAAACGGTTTGGTTTGTTATAAACGATGTAGTTATGACACTGCATACATATGAATGATGTTCTGTTTAATATAATTTTAGTATGAAAATCCATGGTTATAATCAATATGCAGTGTAATAAATACATCTCTGTACAGGGACTTCAACATGCATTTGTAAAGGGAAATCTTGTATCTATTGTGGAAATGATTCTATTATTCTACTTATTCATATTATGTATGCAGTGTCATAACTACATATCTGACGTTTATAACAAACCAACAGACATAGAAAACAAAAGCAACAGATCTTTAGAGCGAACTAACTGTATTCAAGTAGCGTGGTCTCCGCTTGGGTTTAACCGGGCTGCAGGCTGTAGAAAGAGGCAGAGACTTGACGGCTTCGACCCTCCTACGTGCTTTATCAATGTAGCGTTGCCCTTAGCTGAACTAGCTCAGAGTTTGGAAAGTTTCTTTCTTTCGGTCACTTTACTAAAAACGCGACGCACAATATGCAAACCCGAGTGGCCGTTCCTCGCATCTTTAATTCGAGTGAGCCGACCAGCCGCTTCGAACCGCGCACTCCAACCGTGTAAAAGCTTCAAAAGTACCTTGGAAGAGGAGGAAGACGAGCCACCAGGCGCCCGCCGGCCTTCTTCCCGCGGCGGAGACGAGGCCCCGAGACTGCGGCGTCTGCCCGGGCCACGCAGCCCGCATCTCCCCCCCGGCGGCGAGCGTGCGAGTGGGCTGCAGCTAAAGTTCACGCGAGCCTCCCTTCCGTGCACCTACCGGCGGGACCGAGAGGGTCCGCACATTCCTCCCCGCCACAACACGAAATACTCCCCCTTTTTCGTCCACTGGGCCTTTGGCTGAACGTGAGAGGTTGTGCCGTTTTTCCGCTCACTCTGTATCTCCCGTTGGTGTGTTTGTTCCCATCACGCCCCCCGAGGACCGTCCTCCCCGTGCGCCGCTACAACGTGTTTACGGGGCAGCGCGCTGGCGCCGCGTAGATGAGACGCCTCCTGTTGCTTCAGGGAGCCAAACATAAAATCAATACAGGACATTAAATGCTGACACCGGGACTTCAATACAGCGGGCTATGTCCGTAAAAAGAGGGTTTGTTTTATCCCCACAAAGCAGCAGCAGCAATCCAAAACAGTACGGTTCGGTTCGGGGTCGCCGGGTACCGAGCCCTCAGCGGGGCATCGCTCCGGCACCGAAAGGGGAACAAGCCGACACACGCCGTCCGACCTGCCAGCGCCTGCACATAAACACACGTTATTACGGTGCACGGATGGAAAACATTGACGCGCAATAAATTACAACATACCTGCGCGGCGGAACACAACTTGCGCAACACCAGAGAGAGAGAGAGAGAGAGAGAGAGAGAGAGAGTGCCGAGGGTCTGCAGAACCTGCAGCCAGGTAACCCGAAAGAGGAAGGTACGCACCTGTCGCCAGAGAGAGAGGGCGGAGCTACCGATCCCTCCTTATATGGTAGGCAATGAAAGGGGACAAGACCGCGAATGGGCAGAGCTGGTGGGGAAGCAGTCACAAGCTGAATAGAATGGACCGCCTCGTTAGTTCCAGTGAGGAATGGGACATCTTTTTTTGGGGGAGGCTGCGTGGTCACGTGTTGTTTTTCACTGCCGAGTATGTGCGAGACGTGCATCAAAACATGTTAAACTAACACAGATTTAAAAGCCATTAAAAAGCCAACAAAGAACTGAAGTTCCTTTCTTGCCTGTGACTTCTAGCGTGAGTTCCTTTTTTTGAAGGGTAACAATACTGTTACTGTTCACAGGTTCTCTTGTAAGACGTCCTGGGGAACAACGAACCTTTGCAGTCATCTCTTCCTTTTCACAGAGACACACCACCAATGCAGGACATTTAGAGAATTTCCTCATATTTTAGTTGCTCACACGGCACTTTCAGCCTGTGGAGGCTGAAAAGGAGCGCCCACTCAGGGCTCGGCTCCACCGAGGAGTCCTCTGGGTGGCTGTCCAAGTGTTTTTGTCCTGATGCAAGTTAGATGTTTCAGCTGATTTATCTTCTGACTGTTTTACTGCGTGTTGAGATACCGCAGGATCTGAACAACAACTTTCAGAAACAGACTCCCACAGAACACAAGAGAGATTGGAACTTTCATTAGTGTTAGATTTATTTAAACAACTGGTTGCAGGCAAAACATCCTGCTTCTTATAAACAAAAACTGTGTTTTTTTTACTCTTACCCTCACAGGAATTTAACTGCATGGTAAAAAGACTACAGGACAGGAAATGGTAAACGTCACATATATGTTCCTGTCTACTTAAGTGACACACATTATACAACTATCATTATAACATTGAGATGATTATAGAAGAATATATGGCTTATACCGCAGACATTATTGTAAATGAATACTTGTCCATGCACAAAACATTTTCCTCCAACAGGTTAGGTGCCCCCATTGGCTGCCAGTATTTTGGGTTTTAAAAACCCTCTGGAGGAGCCTGCTGTGGCTCCTGATTATAATACCCACTTGACATGTTTGCGTGTTGAGTGGGATCTGGTGCGGAGTACCCGTAGGCCCCTGAACCTGCCGGTGCGGGATATGGTCCAACAGGGTAGGCGGGGGGAGGGAAGTCGCTGTAACTCGGTGCCCCAAAAGGCCCAGATGGGTAAGGCCCCGGAGCTCCACCGGGCTGAAGGTTAGCAAAACCAGAAGGAACTACGACCAGGGGAAACTCCACCTTCGGGTCAATGGCAAAGCTGATGTCCAAATACACCTGGTGACAGCAAATATGTGAAACTACCATTCGTCTGCATACAGTATTAATTATATTGACCGTAAATGTGTATGCAACTTGTTTTGTCCTGTAATCATATATGCTCTGGAGTGCTAATGGACGTATGTATTTTCAATAGTTGCTGAAGCTTGTGGTTGAGACAAGAATTGTCTGCTAAATAACAGGCAATATTTGCCAACAAGTGTGAATACTCAATGTCTTTATTTTGCATTATTACATACCTTAAGGTAATGGCTAACTGAGATGATTTCACAATCTTGGAGAGTGTGGGTGACGTCAGCAGGAACCGTGAACTGGCAGGACGCAGTTTCCGCTGAATTCGGTTCAATAGTCTCCCCAACCATTTTCCACAGACTTTGGTCATTGACTTTAGTGGAGGCATTGGCCCTGTACACTATTTTCTGCTGCAAACTGAATTTGGTCTTTGTTTGTTTGGAAGAGGAGTTACGGATTTGGGCAGCAACAGACACGGTGTCACCTGTCAAAATCAAAACGATAACTCCTGGATATGCATCGTTTATAATGCCATAACACAATAATGAAATTAGACATAAAGCAACTGTACGCCTATGTATTACAGTGACTGTACCTGGAGAGCACACGTTTGTGTTAACGGTGGCAGACATTTCAACCTGGCCGTCGGCAAAACCGCTCATCTTTTTATCCACTGAACCAGACTGTGGATGCTAGAACAACAAAAACAAACAAACATTCTTTCGTATCAGTGCAGCTACATCCGGCTGAAGCATTTAGGAGAAACCATCTCATAATGCTGTCAAACTGTGCGTTAAGCCACGTTTAATGGTTTCCACCATAAAAGTGGAACCATTTTAACATCCCAAAGGGAATCCTTACTAATTAGTTTTAAGTGGTAGATTAGGCAACACTGTGCACTCTCTCCATAATCTAATGGACCACAACATCATATGAATGCATCTCAATCCTCTCCTCCCTCGCCATCCCAGTTCTTTCCATCACAATGCTTTTTGCAAACCCCAATCCATTTCCTGTTTATTCAAGCAACCGGTTTCTTTTGATCGATCCCATGTGACGCATTGTTGAATCTCAGGATTCTGTAGGTCCTGTTGACTCATATCTTTTATTATGCATATTCAAAGCCTATAGACGCAGCTTCTCTTTCAACTCAACAAGAAGGTGTGTCCAGACCTTTGACTGGTATGTATAGTGCACTTCTGTTACGATAGAGATTTCTCCATGCTAGACTTCATGTCACTTTGCTCAGGCACGTTCAGTATAGAACGGTCTTCATCCCCAACTCTGCATAGTTCCCTTACCTTTAAACCCTCTCATCTTTTACTGCCAGTTATTGCCAGCTGGCTCTTCAGTCGTGTGATTTGGTATCTAGAATATATACCTTTCAAACATTTGAGTTAATTTGCACTAGTGTAAGAAATTGATAACACGTATCCTTGTGGTGTCCCACTTACTATTGCCTGGACAGTATGGGAGGATTTTGAAACAAAGTTGAGTTCTTTTTGTACTGAAGAAGGCATCCGCCAGCTCCTGGACACCTTTGCAACCAGTATGTAGCAAATCTTTCCATGTAACCCTCTGAAGGAGGACGGCATCTCACTGGAAGAAAAAAACGGTCCACAAATGCAAGATTTTGTAAATGCAAACACAGAAGTCCGCTTAGATGCTAGAAATGTAAACTTACCCTTGAGGAAATGTAAACCTGAACTTTAATTGATGGTCTCCTTTGGGAAGTACAGTACCTGCAAAATAACTGAGAATGATTTACACTTTCTGTCTCCTCAGTTGAATTCAACCTCGTTCACGGAGGTTCACGTGTATTCAATTAGATTCACGGATAACATCATGTATTCATCAGCAAGTGGTTAGAAATGTATACAAGTGAACCGTAACATGTGGAATACATATTGTTGTCCAGTTTTAATATGATGCACACAAATGAGAAAGCAAAAGCAAAGCTTATAGGGAGAAGCAATTGTCACACCTACCATTCTCATTCTGTGCAACCAAGTTGTCTTTGAGTTTCAGGTAGGTCCTGTGCGCACTGTGCGATCTCCGCTTGTCCCCGGTCCCCTCCGACCAGTGCACGTCCGCGTCCCCTTTGAGCTTCACGCTCAGTCCCTTCAGCTTGGTTTCCTTTGTCAACGTGAACGTGACCATGGCAGCGATGGTATCCCCTTGAGAAAAGGTGTCCCCTGCGTTGAGAGCTTCGTAAACCAAACCCAAGTCCTTTATCGGAGACATTTTTGATTAAACGTTTAGCGCCCCCCCCCCCCCCCCTTTGTGTATCCGCGAGGAGCGACGGCTCACTGTCAGTTCCTCTCAGCGGGGCTCCAACACCTGAGGCAGCAGCCTGAAGATGGAGCTCAGCAAAGGAAATACTGTAGCCTCGACTCTAAAAGTACTTATTTGTTCCCCGTTGTGTCAAAGCGAGCGAAACACGAGAGGCAAGAAGCTCGAAGCTTATATAACGCCGACGGGTAGAGAGATAATGGGACTAAAAGCATAAACTGTCAGCTGACCTGTTGTCATCATTACGAATACGATCCAGATTTCACCACAGGATATTGCTCAACGGGCTGTTCCGGTTTACACAATAAAGGATTTGGTTTGAGGGTTTTTATGTTCAGTAGGTTCAGGGATTGTTCTGTTTACACAGTTCATTGTGTTCATTGTTGGGCTATTTTATTTTATTTTATTTATAGGCCCCGATATCTTCGATAAAATGGAAGAACTGAGGGTGGATGAGATTATTTGCCAAGACCTCTATTATCCATGGATGAATTACTGATGGGGCCAAACATGCTACCACGCATGAACCTCCCCTGAGCTTCATCTGCAGTTTGTCACTCAAAGGGGCAAGTACGAGTAAGGGAATAATAAAAGGGGACACAAAATAGCGTTAAAAAGACTTTCTGATACTGGTGCCTAAACCAACACATTAAAAAAAGCACATAACAATGGTTGAAACAGAAAAGAAAGTTTTTTTCTAATGCTGAGGCAATTTTCTTCAAAACAATACTGTAAATATAAATAAATAAAAACACTTGGCTTCAAACTACGGCTTTGAGCTTTGTAACTTCAAACTATGAACAATATATCAACTGTTTACAGTTTAAACTTTAAAGCATACTTAGTGTTTCCCCCAGAGTTTGAGGTGGATATATTATTTCATTTGAATTGGGAATATTACTCATTTAATTTTAGATTCATGCTCATTGTGCAAGATCTAAAGATATATAACATATATTGAAAAGCATTTATGTTGGATTCTATTATTCTTTTGTTTTAGTGTAGTTTATTTCATTTAATAATTTAATATTTTTTATCTTATTATATTGTATATAATGTGTATCTTTTAATTCTATTTTCTTCCCTTAAATATAAGATGGGTCATCAGTATGTGTAAATAAAGTTTTTCAATCGGCTCAGGCACCGAAATCAAGTACCGAAATCTGCGTTGCATTTCGGTACGAGAACCGGTACCAGTTTGGCACCGGTTCTCGGTACCCAACCCTACTCACAACAAGAAGGGGGAAAAACCATAGATAGATATACAAAGGCTAGATGTCTTACGGCGGAGTATAGAATGTCCTCATATGGCGGACATCTTGGTAGGGTGGGCTCGCTCACCCGTAACATTGGTGGTGGTACATGTACTTTTTCCTAAGTATGCAGTGTCATGAATACATCTCTGTACAGGGTGGGGATTTCAACATGCAGCTTTTCTTGATGTATATTTGTAAAGGGAAATCTTGTACGGATTTTAGAACATTACTCTATTTTTTAGAACATAATTATTCATATTATGTATGTAGTGTCATAACTACATCTCTGACATTTATAACAAACCAAACCGTTTAAAAATCGGTTGAACATTGAGCAAGTTATGGTTATTTAAAAAGTACATTCATCACTACGAACACAACGTTATGGGTGAGCGAGCCCACCCTACCAAGTTGGCAAGATGTGCAGACGTTCGACTCCGTTGGCCGGCAACGCGGACGAGACATCTAGCCTTTATATTTGTCTATGGGAAAAACCACCACCAAAAGACGAAACAACAATGATACAAAAGAGGAGCCACAGACTAACCGTCTCTTGCTATTCTTTATTTACATCTCTAAGTCGGAGAAAACACAGCAGTTTGGCAAGTATAACAAAAAGCCTGGTTTGTTTAGTATTGTGTTGATGAAATAGACCGAAGAAGTTGTCTGGTGTTAAATTGCACAGACTGGGCAATATATCTAAAAATCGCTTATTTAGCCTCTTATTTGATTACTTTATACAGTAAACATATGACAATATTTTTTAATATAGTCCTTGTTGTCCAGTTTCTTTCAACTAGCCTCCACACTGCAGATTGAGAAAATCTGTATATTCTATATACCATCGAAAAAATGTCTGTTGAGGATTCTTGTGTTGAGCAAGGCACGTGTGCATACACAGCGTATCCGGACGGATGAGGTTTGAGCAGCTGGACGAAGCCAATTAGTGACCGTAACTGAGAAGGATACAACATTTGGATACGATCCACAAATCCCTTTTGCCCATATGATTGTTTACATGCAAACAGTCCACACGGCACAGTGACATTTTTGTTTAAATTCGCGAGATACGGGTTAAAGACACAATCTAGGTGATCAGATTACACATTTATATATAAATTAGTACGTCACATCAAAAATAAACTGGTTCAGTCATTAAGCATAGTTTCTATTATTTGGCATCAGACTTCTCAGTAGCGGAAGACGGGAAAAGGAGAGAATATGCTGGAGGAGCTTCATCCGATTGAGACAGAAAGTCTGTGTTCATCATTGCTGCAGAAGACGGCGGGTTGTATGAAGGAGCAGTTGGGGATATGCTCATGGGTGGAGCAGTAGGTGATGATGAGGGTGGATGAAATGTTGGGGCAGCAGGCGGAGGGTGAAGCAGAGAAGGCGACGATGAGGACGGAAATGGCGATCCATAAGGAGCCAATTGTGGCACTGGGTTAGGGTATCCCCCATTCACGTGTGAAGACTGCACAGGGTACACACCTGGTGGACCAGCATTCACAGACGGGTTATATGGGTACGCGGGTGGTGGTGCTGCATACTGTTGGGCCCCTGGGTATCCGTAGCTGCCCGAGTGTGGGGATGCAGGATAAGGACCCATAAACACAGCAGGAGCAGGGAAGCCTCTGTTGACTGGGCCCCCAATATCCCTCGGCGGACAAGGACCCATGGACACCGCAGGCGGGGGGAAGTCTGTGTTGCTTGGGCCCCCAGCAGCTCCGGCTGGATAGAGGCCCCTAGCAACACCGTCAGCGAGGACTGGAGGAATAATGACCACTGGGAGCACTATCTCCGGATCGAAAGCGAAGCTGATGTCCAGATACGCCTAAGGAAAGAAAAAACATGACAGCCCGATTAGGAAAGCTGTGCTTTAATTCTATCTAGAATTCCAAGAAAACAATGAATTTGGAAAATCTTTTATGAATGTGTTTAACAAAAATAATTGTTAAATAATATGTTGAATGTTAAATAATAACGCATACCTTTAAAGTGTACGTCACTGAGATAATGTCACAATTCTGGATTGTTGCCATCTGATCACGAGGTATCGGTATCGCACAGCGGACATCCTTCTGTGTTTGGGACTTAATACTGTTGTCAACCACTTTGAGTATAACGTTGCTCTGGTGTCTGGTGCTGCCGTTGGCATGGTACACCACATCCTGAATTAAACTGAATTTGGGTATCATCTCACTAGACGAAGAATTGTTGATTTTTGCCAGAATCGGAATACTTTCACCTATAGGAGAAAAAAAACATTTTCTTGTAAATCTAGTTCCACATAAAACAACATAGTGGACTGCATTATGAGTGTTATATAAGGGCAGTTCAATGGTCTGTCTGGTGCGAAAATATTACTCACGTTAAGTCGACAGTGCTAAAATGCTAAACCCACCTACTTATTACGACATGCAGTACTGTCTGACCAAGACCGGAAATAACACAGTAACTATGATGTTCAGTACCTTAATCATACTGAGCTACCTACATTTCCATCAACCCTTCTTTTCTTGCTCCATTGGAACCATCACTGACAACAAACATCAGGTGTGAGCAAGTATGCACACTACCATGTCACTTAAAAAGTCTAAATAATGTTATTATTAGTTATTATTATTATTAGTCTAGTCCAATGACAGGGTCTTGAAGACTGATTTCAATTTCTGTATTCAATTTCTTTCTTTTTGACAAAAGCAATGCTGCAGTTCAATTAAAATTGGCTAAAGTTTGCTGAAGTTCATTACTTAACCGTCACTGACATATAGAATAGTTTCCAGTAACTGCCTTCAGCATAACATCTCCTTCGATTACATGAACCCACCCAGTTTGAGGAGAAATTCCTACCTGGGTAAAAAGCACACTTGTCAACGATGACATCCATATGTACCTGTCCTTTTGAGAAGAGGCCCATCTCTTTCTTTGTTGAACCAACCTGGCGTAACTAGAATGCAATAAAAAGGGAAGACATCAGCCATTAAAGTGTCTGGGATAAGCATTTCTGAGCAGGTCCAAATATCCAGGTAGCTGCACCTTCCGTCACATATTATTGCTCAGTGTGAAGTCCTTCATGTTGAGCAACTTCTCCCTCAAACTATTATTTTATTTTTAATAAAATTCAGTGACACAAAATTGATATATTCGTTTTGTTAAAGCAGGAATGGCGCATGTAGAGCTAATACCGTTCATGGCGGCTATGCATGAGGATGTTTTTTAGCCACACCACCAATTAGAAGTGGCACATCCCAGAAAAGGTCTGCTGGCAACAACTATACTTTCTCTCTAGGAACTAGTAGTGGATGGAGGCGTCTATTTTACAACATTTTACACACCATCAGAGAACCAAGGTTAGGATAGCACTTGGAGACAAAACATATGTCCTTTTCTACTGTTTGGTCCATCCTCCAACTTCTGGACAACTTGGCCTCCAGCTTGTAGACAATCTTTCCATGATTCCCTTTGAATGACGACGGCATGCTTCTGTTAAGGAAAACCAGCAGATTCATGTTTTATGCGATCTTGGTGAATTAACATCAATAACTGGAATAGAAATACACATCAATGAACGTGTAACACAAAGAATGTGCAGCACTATGCTACTTGGTCTTGTTTGTGAAACCCTCTACATTGGGAGTGCAAACATTGTGTTTTGGTAAGCGTTTTATTCTACTTACCCTGTTGGTATGTTAAAGCTGAATTTGTAGATATGGATTCCTTGGGGAATTACAGTGTCTAAAAGGACAAAGATTTAGTTTTAATGGTCAACTGCTAGGACCTGTTACTTTTAAGTATTGGAAAATTACACTTGTACTTGCACATTTTAATAATTTCACCCCACTGCCCTTCTATCGTGATAGTACAATCTTTGCATAAGAGCTGCAATTAATTAATTAATCACTTTGTGACTATTCAGTTACAGTAGGCCACGGTCAAAATAAGACAAAAAACGATCAACAACTACACTTTTATTAACTTTTGACATATTCAAGTTAACTTACTTAACTTCTTAAAAACGTAATGGTGCCAATGACCATCGCGGGCCACGCAGAAAAGCGCACAACCGCACAGGGAGGCCCGCACACTGCCAGCGGGTAACGACACAACGGGAAGCCGCGCGGGAGTAACAGGAAGTCCGCAGCTCACCCTTACGGTCCTCCGGGATCAAAAACTGCTTGAGCTTGAAGTATCTCTTGTGTTCGTGGTACGTGTGGGTGCGATCGCCGCTCTTCTTCGTCCACCGGACGTCGGCGTCTCCTTTGGCTTTCACGAACAGGCTCTCGACCGTGGTCTCCTTCAGCAGGGCCAGCGTCACCTGTCCGGCGAGCGCGTCCCCCTCCGAGAACGTCTCGTGCTCGTTGAGCGCGTGGTACGTCATGGTCAAGCTCTGGATGCTGGGCATTGTAAAAGAATATGACGACGACGCTTGTTGAACAACAGAAGAAAAAACAACAACAAACGATTAAGTCCAGCCCGGCTGAAGACGTTCAAGCGCGCGCTACTGTAGACCGAAAAACTACAACCCCAAAAAGACAACCGGCCCCGCCGGCGCCTGGACTGTGGGAGGAGGACACGCCCCACGGTTGCCTCCGCAAAGACCTCTACTGCCATCTGATGTCCAAAAGGACAGACTGCGGGCTCCTCGTCCAAGTGGCGAGGCCTTCACGCCTTCATCCTGGAGGTCGTGGGAGGAACCGCGCAGAGTGTTACCTGCCGTACAGGTGCAGTATGGAATACGTAGGAGGGATAAAGCAGTATTCTGCTGCAGCCTCCAGGCTCACAAGCACATGATTGCATTACGTCAGTATGCTGAAAAAAGTACAATAAACTTAACTTGTACAACAAACGTCTTCAATGTACTGTCTGTGGCTAAAGTCTGGAATACAGAATCACCATCACGGTGTGGTGTAAACAAAAGGTGATATGGAGACAGTTACTTTGACAATGTGGTGTTCTGCGTACATTTAGCGGGGGGGAAGAAGTCAGGGACTCACAAGACAACCAAATGCGAAAACAAAGCGACCAACGACAGAAATATGAACAGAGAAAACGGAGCGTGAAGTAACATTTGGCGCAGGTTAGTTCCTGGTAGCGTTGAGCCGCTAACTGCGTTTCTTTCATATTGCTTTTCTTCTTCGTTGGTGTTTCGCGTGTTTGGCATTCGGTTTCAAACAATTGGCAATTAGGCTTTTTGAGCTTCACGGCAAACGGGATCCCAACTCTTCCTTCTAACAATGCGAAATAACTTTGGACCAGAAGAAAGGTCATTGGGCAGAAACTACGTGAAGGTGAAGTTTCGTAGAGATATTCTGAAGGCTTGTGCGGTGTGGATTTCATTAGTTGAGGCGGAGTTGAATATGTCCACGTGTCTTCTCCTGATATCCGAAAACATGTGGTTTCAGGTTTTAGCCAACAAAAAAAGAAATATATTTTAAAAGTCAAAATAGTCAGACGATAGCCTCTACCTGGTATAAGTTGAACAAACGGAATTGCAAATTATACACTTTTGTAAATATTGGAAGTATCTTTTGTTCAGGAGAGGGATATGTGCAGGGCAGCAGAAAATGGCATCTCCAAGTAACAAGACACGATTTGTGGTTTGGCCTTTGAGGTTTCTCATAAATGTCTTTAAGGTCTTGCTGGCTTATCTGGCCCGCGTAAATGTTTACAACTCATCTTATTAGTTCTATTGAAAAATGTAACCGTATAATTGGGCCTTTTTCTAATTGTTCCAATTTTAACATCTGATATCAATCTCCCTGATTATTATTACACCTGTAGCACAGCAGCAGATGCAGCTTCAAACCAAGACAAACAACTCCTCACTACAGTGCTCCTTGTCAAGTTTCTTTGGAATTTTTCCAATTTATTCACCATGCACCAGGCAATAGAGATTTTGAAATGTTGTGTTAAGTAGCACACTAGGCAAAAGTAAACACACAAAAAAAACCTTTATCTTTTGTAATTCATCTATTAATGACAAAGGCTTAAATCACCTCCCTCGGTAGAAGCTCATTAATCTATGTCTGTAAATGCCCCTAGTTGGATGGGTTGTATCCCTGCTTTGGGAAAAAGGGTGCGTTGGTCAAGTCCAGTCTTTATTAAGATTAATGAACAGCTTGACATTTTTAGTCCTCTGTCTGAATCAATAATTTTAATACTCATGAGGGCCAATGGGGATCTGAGCTTGCGGAACACACATTGTGGCCACAGGGCGCATGTTAAATGTCCAAGTGGTAATCGATGCAAAGAAATTAGCTATTGATCTCTTATATTTTTGTAATAGCTTATCTATTGGTTTGCTCTTTCGTAAAATTCCAATAGCAGCCGGATGGAATTTTGCCGGTAATATTGCTGTGGGTTGTGTTTACGTATGTGTGTGCATTCGCATACACCCAGCTTTCGGTGTGTGTTTGTGGGTCATGTTTTAATTAGCACAAAGGGCAGTTTGTGAACAAACATGTTGAGGGGAATATTGGCGAGCTGCATCACATGCACAGTTTATTACAACTAACGCGGGGAAATTCAGAATAAGATGGTTCTATGGAAGTTAAATGCAGATCACTATTTTTATTTAAGTATGTGCAACCACGTACATCATTTACTAGAGATTGTGAGTGCCGCATTACATAAGCATCTAAAAATATGTTTCATAACTTAATTAGGTGATGCAAAACTACTTCCTCCATAAATACTTTTTCAGGTTAGGAACTGTAGCTACCAACCTTAATTTGTAACATATTCCTTTCCTCTGTCTGTATCCTCAGAGTGTGAAATATGAATCTGCTTTGCTGGGGCAGTGGGGGCTTCGCCAGACTGGACACGGCGAGTCTGGGGCCCATCGGTCCGGAGGAAGCGCATCAGAGGGAGTTCACAGAAACACGGCCGGGCCGAGTCAAGCTACTGGCATGCGGATCCGGTCACTGTATTGTGATCACAGGTACGAATCCCAGTTTCCTTGTGCACCGTTTGTTGTTCTTATTACGCGCTCTCGATGTCTAAACAACATTCACATGCATTCTTTAAGTTTGGGTTGTAGGAATAATTTACGTTGGTTGCCGTCTTCTGCAAGGCTTATGAAAATAAATCATGTGTTTTGTCATCCAATTACTCAGTGTCATTGTTTACCCAGTTAAAGTCTTTCATGTGTCTTCCAACATGGAGTTGTCTGGTGTTTCGGTAAATATATTGTTATATCTGTTAGGTCTTTGGAAATGATTGGAACAAGCTACATTTAACAGCCGGTTATATTGTTAAAACTCTGTTTGCTGAAAGCCACGGCTTTCCACTGAGGCTTCAGAATGTTTACAGAACAATTAGCTAAGTGAGACATTTGATCAAATGATGTGGAAGCAACCGAGGCCCATAGAATCCATTAGCAACCATCACACGCTCTGACGTAAAAAATACAAACTGACATTTGACGGACATGTTTTTCCAAACTACCGAAAATGAATTGTCTCATGGTGCAGTAAAAGAGGGAATTCAAAGACACATCATTCCATATGCGTAGGGTTAACACACAACATGCATGTCTTCTTTCCCGACCACGAGGTAATACTGGCCTACTTATTTGCCAATTTGATAGAAACCCTTATGACGGGAAGGGGGGAGGCTCCTTTAGTACATACGCTACCAGCGGTCATAAATCAGTAGCCAAGATAAGTCTTATGGATCACCCCAACACAAGGATCCTCTACCTCTGCCATCATTACAGCAAAAAAAAGGTGACATTTTTGATGGATTAAAATGGTGCTGGCTAGCTTGGGCTAAATCATGTTAAGTGATGTGACATTGCAGTTTCACACATCATATTTCTGTCAAGACAATGATGGTGGAAGGCATTGTCAAGGCATGATATCTGACAACAGCAGACATCTGGGGGGGCCCGGTTGAGATTTATGGGAAGGTTTTAGTGGTCTGAGGGAGATGGGAGAGAGTAAAAAGATCTCCTTTTTTGTGCATTGTCACTTCCAGAGTGACTGTAAATTTTACTCCAGTGCTGTTGGGAATTGGAGACATTTACACGTGCTGACAAATTGCCTGCTGTAAAAGTATTTACTGTTCTTGTCCTCCTTTTATTCTCGGTTAGCCCACAAAAACATATCCCCTCCACAGACGCAGAAATATTTACCCACGGAAAATTTACGAGACACACGTTTATGTGACGTACCTGAGCGGGAGGCCAACACACGTCATAATAGTGTCACGTTGAGAGCACCGGTCTGCTGTTAATGTTTTAATGGAGGTGGTCTCTCGAGTAGGTCATAATGGCTTTATACTAGGCACATTGTCTCAGATCTCAACCCAAAGAAAGGCTTGCTCATGGAAAAATACCTCGCAGGAGAAATCTGTGAGGTGCAGAAAAGGGTGAAGTACGGCAAACATTTTGTAAATCATTGTGTAAACTGTTTAAAAGCAAACAACCCAGCGATTATCACCAAGCAAATTTCAACAATCAGCAGTAAAGGAGAGTGGCCTTTGTGGTTTGTAATTATGACAAACTTTGACTGTGCGTGAACATTACATTTTACGTTTAGTGTGCTTTTGTATTTGTGTTGAGAATGCGCGAATGATGTGGCAAAGAATAACTGCCGGTGTTTGTGTTCGACACATTTTTTAAAATCACAATCATTTTTCTATCATATAACTTGCCGTGATGAATGTAAATGAAAAATCAGATGGTAAATCGCTGAGAGTTCCAATGAGATTACCTGCGAGTAAACTTAGGGTCTCCCGTTGTCTTCTGTGACCATTTTTAAATAATGCTCCACATTTTAGAACGAGCATTACGAATTGTTGCCACTCGGTGGCACTATTAGACTGCCAATAAAAGCTGCGGCAGAGCGGGGGGGGGGGCCCACACTTACCTCACACTCAGACACAGCTATAATTTACTAATAGTGTGTGAGCCGCCATTTCTGTTATCTTTTAATAGATTTGTACGGGGGAAAGCAGGTGCCTGTTGTTAATGTGTCCAATTGCCCAAGTTGCCTACAGAATTTAGGGCATCCATCACTGTCGTCGGCGGTGACACCCTGTCGTTCTACTTCACGCGGCGGGCCGGCCGAGCTGGGGCTGGTAACAGATGAGGCTTCTCTCTCCTCCAGACGCCCACAGTCACACAGGGACGACCGCCATACGTGCTTGCACATGCATATACACAGAAACGCATGCAGCTATACAACAGTCTTAGAGGGCAAACTGAACTTACACCATTTCCATAACACATGCATATATTTGGAGGGTGTATATTACATAGATACCCTGGAAGAAAAAAAACGGCACCTGCTGTTGATGGTGATAATAAATTGATATCGAAGCATTAAGCGGAATAAATGGGCTGTGTCTGAGGGGAAAGTGCCATTAAAAAAAAAATAATCCCTCTAAACTTTGCCCTCCGCTGCTTTGAATTCTTGACCTCTCAGCTGCACCCTTGAGCTTAGCCGGGGGCACGGCGTTGCTCGCAGGTTTGCTCTTCGCCCCTGGAAAACACCCCGTGCAGCTGTGTTTCTTTACACCCGGGCCGAGAGTTGGAGGGTATACAGAGGTGTCGGCTAATACCTTGTTAGGGCCGTTTCAGTTGCTCGGTCTCGGTGAGGTCAGTGTCAGTAATGCTTTAGTTCGAAGGCCCTTGATCTGCTGGATGTGGGATGAAGCCACGGACTCATGTGCAGGGCCGTTTGTGACCTACCCTGATTACAGGCCTCAATCCTGGTTGTGGGATTCCTTTGGTCGGACATGGTCACCTTGATTTAGGTCTTTGAATGTTGTGAGCAAAGTCTAGCTGTCCAAAATATGACTGTGGGGGGACTGAGCTGAGGGCTAAAGTTATTCTTGTTTTATACCTTGGTGTAACCATCATGCTACTTTTTCCCTGTTTTTCCAGTGTTTCCCTCTGCATGCTGTTGGTAAGCATTGTTTATGAGATAAGCATTCCTCCGAAGCGCCACTCAGTCCTCAGCTGTGAACACATAGTTCTTTCCGTTTTAATGACATCCATTAAAATAGATTACAGCAGGCATGGTTTGCCTTGACTTAGTTTTCAAATCCAACCCAGATTTTTGTTTTGAAAAAAGTTAAATCCTCAAAAGTAACAGGAAGGGACAAATCGACCTGCCATGGAACTGATCCCTATTTGCATTCAGGGCGCAGTTACATCTCCTGTAGAATCAAATGAGTAGAACAAGTGCGGGTGAGCGATATATGCAGCGAAAGAGACGCAGACACACACAGACAGTCCTGGAGGTGCACACATGACTCTCCCTTTGAGATGACCAGGGCCAGGTTCTGCCTTCAGGACAGGGGTCACGCAGACTCCAGTGACGTCTTCCTCAAACGTGTAATTCACTCGGACGGTCTGGAAACTTTTTCCTTTTTCTCTTGCTTCCTGTCTTTCTATCAAGCCATGTATGCCTGTAGGCAAATGCTCCTTCACCTATATGTATTTGATTGTCCCTTTCAATGTTTGTCAAAGAGAGCAATGCTCTGGAATAATTCTAGAAAGGTATTGGCAATACTCCTGCATGACAACTCTAATATTTCTGCTTTGGGCAACATAACACAACATAAAAAGTAGAACGGATGCATATGTATATATACATTTTATATATCAACCTCAACTCTACAACAACTGAAGTTGTAGTGCAGAGTAAAGTGCAAACTGGGGGGCGTGTTGATGGTTTTCTACTATTTCCCAGTTGGAAAAGGTGGATGAGTTGTAAAAGGGGGGAAGATAAAAAAAATAGATAAAATAAAAAGCTGTCTTTGCTTCTTGCCCGCTCTCTTACTCACCGCTATTTCTCTATATTTTTTCTCCATCTCGCTCTCTCCCCTCGATCTCTGTGCTAATTCGTTTGAGCTTTTGAAGCGTTTAGTTTCGCACTTAGTTGCTTTTTAAGGTTAACGGCAGGACCGAAGCCTTTATGTCGCTGTAAAAATGGACTTAACTCTCTCGGAACATCACGGAGAAAGTTGAAATGTGTATTTCACTTGTCCGCTTCAACGCCATGCGGAACAAAAGACGGGGGAAAGTCGAGCCAATTAGCCGCTAATGAGACAAGCTTGTGAGGATATCCAAATCCTTCAATGTGTTAACGTTTACGACACAACCCCCCCCCCTCCCCCTCCCCCTCCGCCACACACAAACACACACCTCCTTCAACTTGCGCCTCCCCCATCTGCCCTTGCACCCAGCCTCTTGCAAGGCGGCGAGGGCACCTCTGAGGCCCTCTGTGTGATTATTCACACATGGCCGTGGCCCTGGTGCTTCGAGCGGCGGATAGCAGAGGAAGAAAGAAATGCCGTTACGTATGGCTAATGTAAAAAATGCTCAACTGACACATGGCAATGGCTGTCTTCTTATTTTCCCTTTCCCCTGTTTAAACTCGCCTCCACCCACTTCACACACACCAACTAAATCCCAATATTCTACGGAAAGATAGATTGATCCAATAAGGGACTCTGTCCCTCGCCATCCGTTCTCAATTTTCCTTAATGTAGTAAAGCCAGGAATTGGGTGGATTGGTTGTGGTTGGGAGTCTGGTAAGGGAAACACATTTGATAAGTGAAAAATAATATGCCAAGTTAAAAAAAAGAAAGAAAAAGAAAGCGTCAACCCAGTTGCCTTTGACATGCTTTTTTATCAGAGATGCCTGAGTTGGAAGTGAAAATAAAATCTGCTTTTGTAATATAGATCTTTGGACAGCCTTGAATGATTCGCCACTATTCTTTTCCGGCCTCATTTTCTCCCACAGCGTGCATCGGGAGTGTTTTTGAAATCTCAGGAGGGAAAATCAAATGTGAGTCGGCCTGGACGTGTTGCAGTAAATAGTGAGAAAAAGTAAACACTGGCCAGATCAGGGAATATCATGCACAGCAATGTTTGTACTAAAAGAGAAGTGTGTAATGGAACAGCATTATATTCCACTCTCCAAAGGG